TTGAGGCATGGAATAGAGAGGAAAGGACGGTAGCTGTAGTGGGGCATAGGAGGTGGGTTGAAAAGGCGGGAAGGGATATCGTTAGGATAGACAGACTAGGGAAGACATTTTTGAGCCACCTTTGGCAAAGTAGAAAGGAACGATTGGCCATCGGTGATCGGTCGTACGGGAACAATGCTCCGTCCTCTCGAGGACGCGTGGTCAATGGTCCAATGGCTAAGACATACACAACATAAGAGTACCCCGCCCCCCCCCCGTCCAACGCGTATGTGGAAAGCTAGTGGGTCAGGTTCCCCGCCATTAGGCGATGCCTCCAAATCTCCACCTCTCCTGCAGCACCCCCGCTCTTCCTCTCTGAGTCATGTACGGATATCTTTAAGTTGGTGAAGGCGAGGCAAGTCGGTGTTGCCTGTTACTGACTCCGAATTCCCCCCTTCTCCACCTCGTGCGTTCATTAGCCTCAAACTTCAGATAACTCACTGCACAGGGCTCGCCAAGGCCGATCGCTTCGGTCTATCGGACCCGCTCTGCATCGTCAAATGGCCGCGGTATACCCGAGAGCTAGGCAGAACCCCGACTGTTTACAACACCGTTCATCCCGTTTGGAAAGCGTGTTTTTTCGAGCTACCCCTAGAAACGGCGGCCCCAGCAACGCCTGTTGCGGTCGCTGTTGGCGGTGAGGGTGGTGGCAGTGGCTCTGGCAAACATAGTGGCAAAAGAAGCTTCGGCAGAAGTGACAGCGTCGAGGCGGGCAAAAGGGCGAGCGGGTGGACGGGGGAAGGTGGAAACCTAGCACGAAAAGAGAAGGAGAAGATGGAACTCACGGTACAGGTCTGGGATGAGGATGGGCGGGTGGCTGCCGATTTCCTGGGCGAGGTGAAGTTGGACGCACAAGCGTTGCTGGAAATGGCACGCGGTCGACTCAATCTGGTGCGTACTCGCGGACGCGCACACGCGAGATTAGAGAACAAGGATGTTTGTTCGTGTTGTTGTTGATGTTTTCGCTGTCGGCGTTTCGAAAAAACTTGTACATGTCATGTCCTCAATACCCTTCTTCATGTGCCAACCCAATTATGCTACCGATCTAAGCACGAAAAAACCATCGACAGGTTCTCATACCGTACACACCCCAGTGTTGGGGGGGATGTTTAATCCGCGGAAGTTCCACATCTTCTTTGCCATCAGGCGCATCGTTGAACTTAATCCTCGTGCTTTTTTCTCTCCTCCTCTGCTGTTCTGGTTCTGCTTGCACACGTACGTGTACATCGATATCGTTTCAGGTGCTACCGTTGGAGGCCAAGCACGACGGTAGCATGACCAAGAAGGAGCGGGAACACGTACAGGGAAGCATCGGACTTTGTCTGGCGCCGGCCACCGACGGAGCCCTGTCTCGACTACAGGAGTCGATAGACGTCGAAAAGGTTTTCCTCGAGGTAATGTTTCAACAACAAATATCGTCGTTGATTGTGAACAGAACGGTATGTGTGAGTGATTGCAGACAGACTTTCGTGGAGAATCCGTTCAACAACGACAATCAGCACTACTGTCTACAAACCATACGGTCTACACCGCCTTGCAGCGATCGAAAACCGAAGATCTCAAGACGAATTAGGCACAATACATACAAGCGCTGTGGGCAGCAGTCCATGTTGATCATTCCTTTAGGTCGCTTGATGCCAAGAAGGTTTCCCTACTGGAAGCACATGCAAACCCGTCCGCGAACAAAAAACGATTGCTCGCAATAGTAAAACTCGACGGAACGAACGTTCTTACAATTTTTCCAACGTTATGCCGGAATTGGTTCCGGGGGTATCATTGCTGTACATGGGTGGCAGTCGATATGATTTTCTTCTTTTATGGGCACGGGCAAGGATGGGACCTTCGTTGTATGTGGCCGGGTCACTTAGACGAGGTTTCTGATTGCGAGGAGCCCCGCCCTCGCTCTGCAACACAGAGTAGTGACACACAGCCGCCGTCCAACAGAGGTACACGTGTGTCTATTCAATACAGACAACGTTGCCTGCACCAGTCGCAGCCGATGCCACGTGGCCATCCACCTCCCAAACTTGTTCGCTTCTCGGACGCTTGAATGTCCTTTACTTCGTGCATACGCATCAAACGAACGGACGCTCAAGGTGACGATTGAGGGGAGCCTTGGACTTCGTCGGGGAGACGGCGCCTGCGTCTTCGCGATCGCTACCCTGGACGGGAGAGATGTCGGAAGCACCGCGGTGGGTTCAGGGTTCGTCGTAGAAACGTGCGGTGGTGGGCGGTGTGCAGCTTGGGTCATCGCATGACTCAAGACGACCGACCCACTCCAAGGCCTACACCTTGAGAGAACGTCGTAACGATCACGGAGAGAGGAGTACAACATCACTGCAGCGTACCTATTGCCCATAATCCACACAATACAAACTCCGTGTATGAACCCCCATCACCACAACAAAACAAGCTCTGTCATCCTACCACGCCTCCTTGTACCTCAATCTCGATATAATTGTCTATCCTTACGAAAGCCGCCGTCGTAGTTCTTGTCGATGATCAAAAGCCTTGAACCCCCGCAACATCCACCCTGTCTACAGGCTATGCCTAACGGTTTCGACCCGGTGTGGATGGAGACCGTTCGTATCGAAATCGCTCGCGATCGTCTTCGGCTCCAGAACCAACAGCACAAGGGGGAAGAGGGAAGCGGCCCGAATGGGAACAGCGGCGATTCCTCCCCCGCGCCCAACGACTTCTCGATCATCGTTTGGAATCGCGTCCAAGGTCGAAGGCAAACGCATCCGGACGAGGTTGGTGTTCCAGCTTTTACGTTGCATTTTTCGTTTTGTCCGTTGAAGGCCGTTACAACCGAGGGTTTCAATGACGGATGAAAGAGAGGGGTTTCGGAAGAGCGTGGCTTTTGTGTGCCCCTCTGCTTGGCGACGAACAGACCAAGGTTCGAGTTGTGGTCGCCACCGCACGCCTCGTGTCGTGGTGTTAACACAATCACTTGACTTTTCGCAATCACGTGTGTTTGTCGCCCTACGTCGGGCGAAAAACCTCTGAATTTCGATTTCATCTGTGTGCTTTCCTTCAGTGCGAGTTCGTGGGGCGCCTGGACCTTTCGGTTTCACGGCTAGTGGCCTTTGCCGTTAGTGATAAAGGCGCGGCCGGCGGCACCGGGGATGCAAAAACGACCAAGACTCACAAACTGCCACTCAAGAACAAGAGAGGTGAGTCAAATCGGGAAACTTGTTCAAGCACGGAGTTGACTGTTTGAGAGGTTACGAATAGCCAGTTTCCGTCCCTTGGCACTTCAACGTATTGCCCTGCAGACCAAACCGGAGAGAGGGAGCGAGGGTTCCATCTTGTGACCGATCGTCCTAACATGCATACCATCTCTTTCTGAAATGCCCTATCCTGTCCCCTCCCTCCCCCCCCCGCGCACGGCGATTGACTCTATTCTGATTTAGAACAGGTTCTTATCAATTCTGTGTGTACCTTCCTTGCAATGCTGAAACGCTGTGAATACTGCCGTTGCTATCTCCCTCCCTCCCCCCCCCACCCCCGCTCCGATACGGCTTCGAATCAGGCAATGAAGGAGAGGGATGTTTGGTGTTTGCTGTCCAGGAGAGGTCGCCCTCCGAATGGCGAGCAGGGCTAGCGGAAGCCGCCACGATCGCCGAAAGCTACGCCGACGCGACTAACGTAGAGGCTTCCGGCTTGGATACGGTGTTCGACAGGAGAGTGAGGCTGACGGTGCTCCGAGCGACTGGTCTGGCCCAGGTATGGACGTTCCCCTGAGGGTGTACCTTGTTGAGCAACGTTAGAGGGGAACCAGTTGTGAACATGTTAGAAATAGAGACAAGTGCTTCATGGGTGAGAGGCTGAGTTCCAGTCGATTGGACAAGAAGCATACGTGTACAAAGCAACGCCAACGTGTAGCTGGAATAACTTCATTACTCCCATGTTAGAATAGCAGTCAGCATTGTTGGTTGTTAGACTTCAACGCCAAGAGGTTTTCAACTGCAATATTGTCGCCATTCTTCATGCATGTTTTCCACACTCAGAACGTGTTTGCTCGATTTCGGGTTCCACCAAGGAAGAACAGCTTACCAAGCAAACATTCCGGTGACTCACCGTAAGCAAAAGAAGAGCATACCGTCTCCTCCACCATGCCCCCGTCAACCGGTCTTGCTCTTGAAACAGGCGGACGATTCCGGGGGCGCAGATCCGATGTGTGTGCTAAGAAGGAGGGGTCGTGAGGTTGGCCGAACCACGACGATCTACGGCAGTCTCGATCCCGTCTGGGGAACCAAGAGCAAGGAGGGAGAGGTGCGTTGATTTGTCCCGCCATCAACGTGAACAACGCACATTGCTATGGCCGTCAGTATCCTCGTCGTGCGTGTGTGTTCGTGTACCTCCTGGCAGAACGAAGAATTCGCAGCGATTGTCGTTCGTACAATGTAGCTTTTTCCTCGCTCGTAATCCAAGCACAGAGTCCTTGCTGGCTTCCTACACCCCCACTCCTTGCAGCTTGCTTTCAATCTCAGATGGTCGGGTTGGCGCGCAGCCTATCCCATGGTGTCAAAGATACCTTGAGCATAACGCAGAACGTCGGTACTCGTCCTTCATACCGTGCCCTCTTTTTCAACACCCGAGCTTGCTGGTGGCCGTTCCGTCATATCTTGCGTACACCCATGTCCATACCAGAGCTTCTTGCTGACCATTCCTCACCCACGAGAGGCGTCCTTCGGAGGGGGCGGCATCGTGCTCGAGGTTTTCGATGAGGACTTTGGAGACCCTAGCGACTTCCTGGGCCAGGTACATAGGACGTTCGACCGACCTGTTGGCAGCAGCTCTCGTCGCAGAAGAGGGTCTCGCTGGGATCGGTTTATCGTCGGCGGTCACACGAACCGTAGTGGCGATAGTGCGATTCGTTTTTTGCGCCTCGTCCTTGAGTTGCCTCGAATATCTTTCACCGCTACTATCCAGTAATAGCCTGACCTTGTTACAGGTTCGCCGATTTGCTGCGCCCTCCACTTCCTTCTTCTCAGCACCTACACCACCCTCCTTTGTTCTGATGATCTAAGCATCAAGCTGGTCAAGACGGACCCCCAACCCTCGTCCCCCCCGTACGCGACCCGATATCTGGCGTTTGAATCAGGTAATCATTTCTGGTAACGACCTTCTTCGCTTCCACTCTCCAGGAACGTTCAAAGGAGCCGAGGCTCAGCACAGGCAGGTTGAGCTGCAAAAGAAGCCGGAGGTGCGTTTTGAAAGGCAGAAGGGTGGCACATGCCGCTGGAGGGCTTGGTCAACTTTCTTTTCGCAGTGAAACCTCGCACTGTTGAACCCTGTACTAGAAACCTTGGCGATGAAGCCCAGCTATAGGTCGACCTCAGCGATGACTATTCAAGCTTCCTTCCCTCTATTGACCCTTGCCTCAAAGTTGACAACGGCGGGGGTCTGCGCTTTGTGCTGGTGAAGTGAGGAGGCGTGACTGCCGCGCCAAAATGTCCTGCCTGTATGGCCTTGTGTCAGTGGTTGGAATGGTGCTCTAGGCTTGCAAGCTGGCGGTGGTGGCAACCAAGGAGAGGAGGTCACACGACGAAGACGTATACCGTAAGTGCTTCAGTACTTTGTGACACTGATCCAGGCGATAAGATCCAGCCCCTCACCGCCCCGGCTGTTCCCTGTCCGTCTTCTGCGTGAACCATATCACCTTTTGTACAGGTCCCACTATCAGACCAGTGGTTGGTGCAGGGTGATTTGTTCTACAAGCTGGAAGGGGTCGACAAGGGAGACGAGGACGTGACTGATACGGTAGTCATCGATCACGCGAGCATCGTCGATGGGCCGACTGACCTAGAGGGCACCACCGGGGGACATGCCGTCCCTTTGCTGGTGAGTGCCAACAAGGAGATCAAGCTGTTTCGGGGGCGGTTTGCTTCGTCAATGGGATCAGTGGGGCCGCACCAGGTGGGCATACAGCATGACCGTATGCCACCGTGGCGAGCAAACTCCCAACACACATTCCTACCTGAGCAGAACGACCCCCCCTACACACGACAGCATACCCCGACATTCCTTCGCTCCAAGGAAATCGCTCCCGCCCTATACGTCTATTCGACCCGAAATTGTCTTTCTCTGTCCGATTCTCGATGGTTTACATGTGACCTGCCTCCAACGAACGGTGTCGGTCAGAGCTCGCAGTACCGACGATTGGAGATTCGAGTGATGGAGGCGGGCGGATTGGCCAAAGCCGACAGATTTGGTCTGTCAGACCCCTACGTCGTGATCCGGGCCAACGGACAGACACAGGTACGTTCCGGTTTCTGCGCTGGCAGAAGAAAAGGTTGAAATGAAACCGAACGCCCTATGCACTGCAGCATCTCTCGCCGGGGATTCTCGCGCTTCTCTTAGCATTTGAGAACGTTTTTGGTCAAAGTGGGCGCAATCAGGCGACCTCATTGCTTACGCTGTGGGTATTATCCTCACACGATGTGAACAAGTTGAAATCTCTCTCAACTGCTATTTCATCCCGTGCAGCTGGGGCGCACTCGCACCATCGCTCTATCGCTGGATCCCGTGTGGACGAATCCGGAAGAGCGTTTCGTGGTCGCGGTAGGCCTCGAAGACGCCGCAAAGTGCGACCTGACATTGGAAGTCTGGGACGAAGACGACCTCGGGCAGGGCGACTTCTTGGGTCAAGTGAGGATGAGGAAGGGAATGAAAATATGGGTGGGGACAACGGGGTATTTTATAATAGTTATCTCCGACGACGGTTTTGCGATTTTGGTAGTGCTCGAAATTAGATTAGTAGATTAATAGGCCGAGACTATGCATCTCTTCTCTCTTTCATGATGGCGACATTTTTCCTTGGTGGGCTTTTTTCCCTTTGTCCCAAACGCCGATCCTTCATTACAGCACTACGAAGTCGGGGCCATACGCGACTCGGTCCCCCTTGTTTGTGCCGTTGAAATCTCGCAGTTTCTCTCACGACGTTTCGCACGGTCTTCAGCAATCGATCGTAGTACTACCCTGACACCTGAGTTTCAGTCTGTGTCTCCCCTCGTACCCTCCCCGATGGCTGCTGCGCTAGGTGTCCCTGCCCAAGGCGCAACTTTTGGAGTTCATTCTTCCGACGGGACCAATCGAGTGCGAGCTGGTGAGGAATAGAAATATTAAATACTTCTTGTGGCGATCTTGAAAGTAGTGGTGTGTTCGCCAGAAGCTTGAAAAGAGTGTTGGCATGACAGGTCTGAGGAGCAGTAGCGTGGAGAGAACGGCGATCTTGTAAATAGTGGTCCATTCGCCAGAAGTTTGAAAAGATAGTTGGCATGGAAAATCCGAGAAGCAGGTGCGTGGGAGCGGTGACATGATTTCACGCTTCTGTGTCATTTTTGTGCCGTATAGGCGGTACATACAGTAAGGAAATGCAAACAAAACTCAAAAGTATGCGTTCCTCATGTGTAGGGTTTGTGTGAAACTTGTTTTTCCCATCAGAGCGACCATGTATACCCACTCTCTGGCTGCAACAAGACAGTTCTCTTATACTTCAAAGGAGTGGTGTTGTTCTCCCAGTTTGTTGCCCCTACATCTTGGGTCAAATTGAGCTCATGCAGATGTGCAGATGTAGAGGAGTATTGTGAGCTGAATATCTCGTACCGTTTTGTCCGTATGATATTGTCATGAACATGTGCCACTCCGTGCCATCGCATTGTAGGCCGCCACCTGGTATGGTCGAAACCAAGTAACTAATCAGCATAACAACACGTCGGTGGCCTCGTGCAGGAGAAGAAACAAACCGAGGACGACGGCTTCAACGAGCTGGTGCAGGGAGTACTGACGTTTTCGATCCGAGAGGCGTACGGTAACATGCCCGATGAGCCTCCAGAGGGGGAGGGCAGCGGTGGCCAGGTAAGACATTGTACTTCAAGGCGTTATAGTCAAAAGACATTGTACTTCAAGGCGTGATAGTCTGATAGCAAGCAAATAGGCTTGCCCTTGAAGGGGCAGTACCCTAGTCGAGGTGGAATACGTCCCACGGAATAGACCCGCACAAGTGCTCGGCGATATGCCTTGTGAGTCCCCTGAGGGGGGGGGGGGGGGGGGGGGGGGGGGGGGGGGGGGGGGGGGGGGGGGGGGGGGGGGGGGGGGGGGGGGGGGGGGGGGGGGGGGGGGGGGGGGGGGGGGGGGGGGGGGGGGGGGGGGGGGGGGGGGGGGGGGGGGGGGGGGGGGGGGGGGGGGGGGGGGGGGGGGGGGGGGGGGGGGGGGGGGGGGGGGGGGGGGGGGGGGGGGGGGGGGGGGGGGGGGGGGGGGGGGGGGGGGGGGGGGGGGGGGGGGGGGGGGGGGGGGGGGGGGGGGGGGGGGGGGGGGGGGGGGGGGGGGGGGGGGGGGGGGGGGGGGGGGGGGGGGGGGGGGGGGGGGGGGGGGGGGGGGGGGGGGGGGGGGGGGGGGGGGGGGGGGGGGGGGGGGGGGGGGGGGGGGGGGGGGGGGGGGGGGGGGGGGGGGGGGGGGGGGGGGGGGGGGGGGGGGGGGGGGGGGGGGGGGGGGGGGGGGGGGGGGGGGGGGGGGGGGGGGGGGGGGGGGGGGGGGGGGGGGGGGGGGGGGGGGGGGGGGGGGGGGGGGGGGGCAGCGGTGAGCTTGAGACAGGCGCTTCTCATGTCCGAGACCTCGCCGGCGGAAAAAACCATGTCTGTGGTACGCCATACACAAAGGGACAGGGATGATTTCGAGAAGTCAGAGGCGAGCGTTACCTACCATGCCTGACGAGGCTCCCGAGATGTGGTCGCCACACCGTTTGATTAAAGAAACAACAGGGTAATCAGTGTTGTTCTCCATTTCGGTTGTAGCATTAGCTCAGTAGATCTTCCCGCCCCCTCCAGATTTCTTTTTCCTGTGTAGCACGCATTTGTATATTGCTGGAGAGCGTTGGGTGTTTCGCAAATCTTGACCATTGTTCCCATTGCAACATGTGTTGTGGTGATAGGTGATGCTGACGATTTTGTCAGCAAAGGGTCTCGCGAAGGCGGACGTGTTTGGAAAGTCAGACCCTTTCGGCATGGTTCTTCTCAACAGGCGGGAGATAGGTCGCACGCGCACCCTGTTCAAAACTCTCGACCCTTGTTGGAGCGAGCCGCTAGAGACTTTTTCTCTGCGCGTCGCAGGCAACCGCTGCAACGTGATTGTCCAGCTGTGGGACGAGGATTTGGGTGAGTGATGTGACTGGGTTCTAGCGGCACGCCGTTCAGCGCTTGTTTGACGAGACTATTACCCCGCGGACCATCATGATATTTGGAGTACACGGGCTCTTAACCTTCTAGTCATAGCCTCACGCCAGTGTATTTCTTTAGTCGTTAACCGCACGAACCATGCGCGCAGGGAAACGAGGGGACTTTCTAGGGCAGGCTTCCCTAACATGGAGAGACCTTCATCTACTCCCGGGCGAAGCTAGTCGGGAACTGAGCCTGACCCTAGGGTTCCGCGACGACGCCCCCAAGAGGGACCAGGAACTGGTGCAAGGGACGGTACAACTGCTAGTGGAGGCACCAGTGGCTGAGGTGAATGGAGGGATACATGGATTGTGTTGAGCCACACGGGAGTTTGGGCACGTCCGTTACCTTTGGAGAAGAAACGTGTTGATCATAACCTAGCCCACAACAGGTCAGAGGGGGGATGCCACTTCTCACCGACGTGGCTCTGGAGGGTCCCACCGAGCCACTATTTTGACCATGGTTCCAATCCACGAGCTCTCTGTCGACGCATCGAAGGCCCAAGTCATAATTTTCAGTGCCATGCGCTAAACGTTTTCCCAACAGGTCCCCCCGATTTTTTGGAGGACGGGATGAAGTAGGTGGACCATTGAATGGCAATAGTAGCCACCAAGCTTAACTCTTGGAGATTCGTTTAACGCTTTTGTCTCGCTTCCTTTCATCACAAATTGTTCCAGATAAAAGTTGGGGACGGGGTTGCGCGCAGCTACGTCGTGACGGTGGATCGGGCGTGGGGGCTCGGAAAAGCCGACCGGTTCGGGAAAGCAGATCCAATCGTCTCCATCAAGGTCGGTAACTACGGCGAATCGGACTTCAACGCGTGGGGTGTAGAATGTTGAAATCTCCTTTTCAGAGCTTTGGAACAACGTGGCCCGATGTGCGTCAACAGCTAGCCAGATACAAGTACCCCCATGTGATCACGTCCTTCTCACGCATAGTAGCACAGGAATTGCATGCAGGAGACATGGCCTTCAGTGCTTCACCAAACACCCTGCCGGCAAAACAATGGCGCAATCAAAGCCCGACTTTCGACGTGAACGTCTGTTGGAAGTGAGGCATGCACATGCACCTCCTAGAATATTATCACACGCAATTTCTCCATGACTTCTGATGCAGTTCTTCGTTTTCGGTTTCTTCCAATCAGGTGAACGGCGACGGAGATAATGCCGAGAGAGGCAGGACTCATTCCATCGCCGGCACGTTGCAACCGGTTTGGCGAAACCCGCCGGAAGTGTTCATCCTCACTGCGGTGGAAGAGATTATTCTGGAGGTATAAAGAGAAGAAGTACACACTTTCGTTGCAGGTTGCCCGTTGCGATTAATCTCTCCCTCCTGTTTTTAGTCATTGCAGAACGCGGACGCCTGCCATACAACTCCAACTTTTTCATTTTCCATTTCACAACAGGTGTAGGGGCTGGGGATCCAGATTTCCCGGCCTAAAAAGTAAAAACAAAGTCCAGCATTAGACGTTGCGCATCTGTGGCATCAAGGCAACCGTCATGTACTACCGATGCTTCTTCCCAGGCTACAACACGACCACCAACATTGTTGACAAAAGCCCTCGCGTGTACCCCTTCGCAGGTGTGGGACGTCGACTTCCATAAGAAGAGCGACTATCTGGGTGAGGTGCGCCTTAGCAAGCAGGATCTCGCGGAGAAGGTCCCCGTCGACGGTGCCCATGAATTCACGGCCGCCCTGCGGCCGAAACCAAACGTCACGGACAAGTTTAATCGACGGGTGCAAGGGTCGTTGAGGTTCACGTGCCAGGTGCGTGATGATCACGTTGCGGAGTGCGATGATTTTCTGGATATTTCGTCGTTTTGGGGCTTTTTGCTTTGGATGTTGTTTCGGGCTAGTGTCCAGAAGCTGACAACCGTAATTTGGAGTTCAAAAGGAGTGGGGTGCTGCAAACCACTCCTATCGTCAACCGCACAGACCTGAAGCTAACTTTTTCTCGTACCTTCACCCCGTGGTAGGACTGGATGAGCCCTGAACGTCTTGTTCTCGAGGGGCTCGGGGAAGAATTAAAACTGTTCGTGGTGTCCGCCTCCGGCCTTCCCAGGGGGTGAGTTGCATTGTTCCATGTGGCAGCATCGCCGTCTTTACCGCACGGACTCAGAGTTAGCCCACCTTTGGACAACATCCCTTCGACTCGCTCATCTGATTCCGCCCACGCACCACCTATCTTATGCATCGTCAATACTTATTTTTGTCGTCAAGACACCATTTCGGCGTATCCGATCCGTTGGCGTGCGTGAGATGGAATGGCCTGGAAGTGGGGCGCACGCGAGTTATTAAGAAGAGCACCTCGCCCGTGTGGGACGAGGGTTTCCAGGTACTATAATGAAACATATGTTCGCCAGAAGTATGGTTTCATTGTGTTTTGACTTGCCCATCGGGCACGAGCAGACAGTTTGCACCCTTGCTCAAAACATGACAGCAAATTAACGAGGTACAGACGTGTACCTCTAAACTGGTGACTTCGGATATGGACAGGATATGTGCGACTAGAAATCCGAGCGACGCGGGAAAGCCTACGACAAACAGGAGACGATAGATTGAGCCACCATCGCTTGGTGACCTAAGGGTATATATTGGTTCACTCCGTCCGGTTTGTTTGTCGACCGTGGTGGAGCAAGTGATCTCCAAAGGCTAAGTCCTTCGATTGAAGGGTGGATGCGAGTTTGATAGCTAGACTGAAACACTATTCTTCGCAAGCATGTGTGAAACATGGTAGCCTATAACCCATCGCACCTCACCCCTGCCCTCATATTCACGTCAGATTGCTACACCGCTTGAAGGTACGGATATTCACCAAAACAAAGGGTCGCCCGGCAACCCAAACATCGAAGTGGTTGTGGAGGTGAGTGAACCGCTCCCGGAACAAATCGTTAGAAGGAGCGAGAGTCAAAAGCTCACACCAGTGAAATCGGAGTGTGAGTTAGTTGGGTGTTAACTGGTGAAACACGAACAGGTGTTTTATGGTGACGTCCTTTCTTCGATGATTGTTTCGAAGGGTACGGATATACACTTGTTACCTTTCTGCAACACTTATCGTATTGGTCGATGAAGTAATGGATCATTCCTCCGCACATTGTGAGTGGTGCAACAAAAGCAGATGGTTTCGTGATACAAGACACTAATAATAGCGGCTCGATCTCCAGCGGAGCTTGAGCATCCGCTAACGCTTCAAGCATTATGTGTGATGTTGCTTTTCCTGCGCGATTTGCTTTCCACGTGAACCCAGATCCTCGATGCTAGCGCCGGCGGCTCAGCAACGGCACTGTCAACTGTCGCCAGCGCCCGGAGCGGCCTGATTGGTCACGTCGTACTGGGAGAGGGCACTCTTCGACTCCCCGAACCCGGGGACGGCCCGCCGTGCAAGGTTGTGGAACTCCCAATAGAACTCCAAGAACCACCGTCATGTGCGACCAAAAGGAGAGGTCTGACTAAGGCGAAACAAGCGTTCAACGGGATTCAGAATCACAGCGGTGGCGACAGGAAACGCCCGGCAACGATAATTCTCTTCTTGGAGCGACGACCGCCACCCATGGGGTCGCCTCCTTCTCGGGACTTGAATCCTTTGTCCACACTGCATGAGACGAAGGCAACGACAGAAAAAACTAGCGCAACAGCAACAGCAGAAGAAACAGACGGTCGAGATTGGACGGATACCACCAGGTCTCGAACCACTGTCGAACATGACCCCAACGTGAAGGATATCGGCCACGACGACAAGAATGATATGGAGACGGCAGCCATTATCGCGGACGGTGAGCAGGAACGGCGAGGGCTACAGCGACCGCAACGATCTCACCGACCACCCGCGCGAGAAAAGATGCAGATCAAGGTTTACAACGCCTGGAGGCTTTCTTCCGGGGCTCGAGCCTTGGACGTAGTCGTTACCGTCATGGCGTGCGGGAGGGGCGTCGGAACGACTCGCGTGTCGTCGGTGGGAGAAACGACGTCGCCGGAATGGATCGACGAGCAGTGAGTGGTTGTGGACCTTTGGAGTCTTGGGACAACGAAAGAGGACAAGAAAATAGTTTCGGTTCAAGGATTGAGGTTTTGCGTCGTTGTGCTGATCGCATGCCTGCGTGCAACAAACGCTTTGCGGAAAAAGTGGATGCCTCCCGGAACGTATGACAAGTATACCATTCGCCCGGGGCACTTCGTCGCCCTAGAATGGATCGGCGAGCAGTGCAAGAAGTACACGTAGTAGGAATTAACTGGCATTATAGCTGAGGACGTGAGCTTTGCGTGCAGTGTGATTGACCAAAAGCATTTCCAGACCAATGGAGATTCATTGCTTCCCCCCCCCCGCTTCAAATAGCAGAAGAAGGCACAGGTCGCCTAAACCCATGGGCATTCGACATCATACAGTTCACACGAAGTTGACAAATCCCACTTTCAAACTATTGTCTTTTCTTTCCATCGTGCGTTCGTGCCATCACCCAAAGTTTCATCCTACCATTGGAGATGTGTGCCGAGCTGTCTTTCGATGTCTGGGGGCGCAAGATGGGCAACCAAGATACCTTTTTAGGACGGGTGAGCCTTCCAACACGATGTGGCTCATACACCAGAATGTCTGTCACAAAGGGATTGGCACTAGTGTAGGTTTTTAAGAGCAGTCAACCTCCCCGTCCGCGCTGGACTACAAACGAGCTTCTGCACCGAGAATAGAGTGCATTCTGCTGCTTAGCAGGCGAATCGAAACAGTATGGAGAGAACAAGAGCAGTTCCTCATTGAAGAATGGGTCAATGAGCATTCCGAACAAGCTGCGGTCGGTGCTTTTCACGTGAAGCTTGTTGGTTTCGTGCGGAGACAAGACCTCCAACTATCTTTTGATTGTCGCGCCCTCGGACTGACTCCCAGGCGTCCCTGAGGAGTACCAGGCGTGACATCGATGAGATAGCAGCGCATGGCGAGCCATTGGAGCTGCCGTTGAGGCGAAAATCCCCCAAGGTACGTACGTCGGGAAGATTTCCTCTGGAGCTTGGCCAGCTTGTTGATCGGCCCGGTTGCTGCGAAAGGAGGTGTGTTTATCCCCCAGTGTGCAGGGTCTGGGAAGGGAAGAAAAACGGCATTCGCAAAGCCGGGATCTAATGCTAAACGCGGGGCACGAAAACAGGCACATTGTTGGTGAAGTTCGAGGCAAGAATGGAACGAGCAATAGGCTCTTACTAAAAACGAAATGAACACGGTGTAAGTACGAGGCATCGAATAAAACAACAGTAGGTGGCTGTCACACGGTTACAATATCACCATTTAGCCCTCGTTAATCACCGGTCGCCCCGGTGGTCTAGTGGGTAGCCTCGCACCCTGTCAAGGGTCAGGTCATGGGTTCGAGTCCCGGGATAGTGAGTTTTTTTCTCACTAAATAAATCCTGGTCTAGGATGAAAGCGACGCACCGCAAAGCTCGTTGTTAGTAAACCATAATCGACTTCGTAGGTCGCGAAGGAAGGGATTGCTGTACCCTTCTCGCGATAAAAATACCTCAGGCAGGAACAGCAGGAGGGGGTCCAGCCCCCCCCTCCTATGTGACCCCGGTTGGATCGTCTAGCTAGTAGAAGCGGAGGATAGGGGCCAGAGGGACAGACGACAGAGTCCAATGATGGGAGAAAAAAAAAAACACCAACACCAGCGATAGTGTTTCCCACGCCAACATAAAACTCTTTGCCTTTTTGAAACTATGACAACGTTTATCTGTTCCTCTCGATGCAGGTTCTCCCGTTAGAAGACCAGACCTTAGTCAAGGGGCATCTGTTGTTCTCACTCAATCCCTGGCACGATTTCGACTACGCTGGGGAGTTGGACAAGAGTAGGGCCAATCGCAGCCTTCAGGTGGGGAAACATGTCCTACAGAGGAAAGGAAGTGCACATACACTATCACATCTGGCACGAGGAATATAGTCCCAAAGGTGCCGTCACATAAATGACCATCCCAACACTCGTGGATCTTCGTCCTAACGAAGGTGTATACAATTGTGAACTACGCGCTCGCTGCTGAACAATGGCGCAGAATCGATCAAACATCACCAACGAACAACAGGCGTACGTCTCTTCTCCTGCTAAGAATGCAGTAGCGTTTGGTCTTTCAGCACCGAGGAAATGAGATCGTAAGTCGCACAGAATATAGGTAAACAACAGCTCTTCTTTTCTTGTTCGTCCGGCAGGTGCAAGTGAGCCTGGTCGGTGCGACTAACCTCACCTCTCCATCAGCGTCGGTGTTCGCGACCTTTTCGTTCCGAGGCACGGAGCTGTCGAAGACGGAAGTTGTCCCTGCCCGTTCTGATCTTAGACAACAGGACGCCTCGCTCAACAGCGGAGCCTCCGCCGGGGTCACGGAAGCTGGGCCGGCACCGGGGCCCGGGGCAGTGCAGGCTGCTGCCGAGGATAGCTATAGCCATGTGTGGTCGGTTCGACACAGCAACATGTGTACAGTGCCGCTCGCGGAGGAGTGCGTCGACCGTCGAGAAACCGAGATAGAGATCGACCTGTGGGAGGAAGGAGGGCCAGAGAAGGAGAATGGGGATCACCTTGGGCAGGTACGTGGTGGCGTCGTGTGTAATTCGCATTATTGGTCGTCTAGTTCCCGTCTCTAGTGAAGTAGCCACCAGGAAGTTCTGAATACGAACGGAAGAGCTCACGTGGAACCATATCTAAACTCTGCTTGAGTCAACCGAACTTTGTCGTTCTTGTTGAAAGATTCCCGTCGACTTCCGTCTAAGGTACACGATATGGCGATATGTGATGCTTCCCTCCTTCGCCACATCTTCCGCCCCTTTCGTGGCTGCTGCAGTATACCCTCTTCCGCTTGCCAAGGAAAAATATGGCATGTGCAATAAAGCGTACAACAATAACGAAACGAGTGCTGCATAGTCACCACTCGGCTGCCAATTGGCCTTTTGTTGTGTTCGCTGGCTCCTTTTAACAAACGCGTTGTTTCGTCAGGTGGTTTTGTCTGGGGACTTCGTGCCGCACCTAGCACACGGCGCGGTGGTGTGTCGCCCCCTTCGTCCGCAGCGCTCTCACCGGAGCACGAGCAACCCGGCCGTTAGGGGGTCACTCAGTTTCCAGTTGTGGCTTCGACGGGGCGGGGAGAGCCTCGCATCGGAGTTCGTCCACTCTGCGCTCACGGTGGAGGTGCTCGCGGCCAAAGGATTGCCACCGCGATCAGGAGGATGGTGAGTAGAAGGATCCGCCGTTGCTTGTTGGCTATCTATTTTGCTTCTAGCGATGTTGTTGACGTTGTCTTTACAATTGCTTCGCGTGGTTATTGTTACAGCTAGCGCCGGTGGCGGTGGCGGCGGCGGTGCGTCTCTCGTGTGTCCCCCTGCCGGCGAAAGAACACGCCTATCGTGAAACTTTTCGTTGTTCTTCTCATGTATGTGGTCATTATGTCACAGAAACAATGAGCCGCAACGCAACGCAATAGGCGCGATCAGAGACAGGTATCTGCGACGTGCCGTTGTTTGTTGGCCTCATGCTTGTTTATTTTTTCCTTCTGGGCACGTTAGCGCTACATATCGAACGGCATAGGACCTTCTCAACAATGCGCCCATGTTCTGTTTTCTCATCACGGGCATTTGCCGGCACCAGGCGACGGGCATTTTGCATCGTGAAAGAAGACGAGGTGGAAATTGGACGCACTCAAACATCCGTCATCGATGACATCAGCACGTCGACTATAGCTGCAGTTACAACAGACAAAGGGGTCTCCATGCCGGGGGTAGTATCGTGGGAAGACCACCACAAGGACACCAACCAATTCGCGGTGACGCTATCGCCCCGCCGCGGTGGAGGGCTGCCCCTCGAACTCACCGTGGAGATGTGGGAAACAAGCTTGGCCAAGGATGAGGATGGCCATGAGGATTCTATTTCCGTTGGAAAGCGTGCTGCAGGCAACGCAAACGTGACGCTCATCAGGAGTAGGAAGAACAGACCGGAGCACGAAGGACAGCAAAGCAGCGTCCGACGCATCGGCACCGCCCGAGTACGTCCTGACACCCTGCTGCTCTCGGTACCAGGACGAGTCTCTCTCCCCCTCGAGCTTTTGCCGGCGAGCTCCAACTCCACGTGTCGAAGCGGTGCTAAAGAGGGCACCAGCATTTCTCCAGGCGTTGGCGCTGCAGGCACAAAACAAACTGTGAAAGCGAGTAAGGCCGACGAAGCTGGAGCCCTAACGTCAAAAATTGTCCTGCGCGTCACCCCCCAGGCCGGTCTTGGCTGGGCACGTCGCGTGATGACGGCAGCCCGGGCCGCAAAACGCTTCCCGTCACCACCAACCCTGTCTCCGGGAACGAAAGTGCTGACAACATCACCAAACAACCATACCAGTACAGCACTATCGGACGACAGCGACGATGTCCATGACGCCCACGTGGTCTACATGACCAACGCTGAGGGGTCGGCGAGAACATGGCGCGCCCCTGTCACCCCCGGGAACTCTATCCCTTGCAAGGACTACGAAGATGTTCTCGAGCTCGTTTTCGCGTCGGTGCCCGCATGCTGCCCACGGGCGCCAAGCCTCTTCGTCGCGCCGGTTTCCGACATCGGCGTGCGGCTAGGGAAGGTGTGGATCGGTCCAAAGATTGCCGCACGACACGCGCTTGTCGCTCACCGCCCTGAGCACTATCAACAAACGTCCAGCAACCACAAGAAGAACGACGGCAGCAAAGGCCTGAACGGCGGCGACAAGAAGACCTCTTACCCCTCCTTCGACTGTGGGGATGTCACTGAGGAACCTCCGCGAGAAGACGAGCTGTTTGTGCGAGTCGTGGCCGCCGAGGCGGAAGGCCTCTTGCGGAACATCCGGGCAAGAGACATGCGGGCCGAGCAGCGCAGGATGACGCTAAGCAGGGTGCGAGAGATCTGCGACGCTTGGAGCCACGCCCGCGCAAGACGGGGCGACCCTCAGCACCAGGGGACCGCTCATCCTACGGATCACGTCAAGCAGGAAGAAGCGCAAAGACTCAGCAGCGCCAGGCACCTTGGTACGGCAGGTTCGCGAGGAGGTGTCAGTAGCGGGGGGAATGGCGGCGGCGACGAGAGAGAAGGACAAGGTAGCATGCAGAACCCCGACAGCGATGACAGCCGGGACAAACGAGGATCGGACTCATCCGACGAAGACGAAGACGATGACGAAGCCGATGACGACGGCCATGTAGACGGTCGTGCCTACGGAGATCTCTACCGGAAGGTTCTGAGGGCCCTAGAGATAGCCCTCCCGGGGGTGTCCATCTACATCGGCCTCCTGGAGAGTGGCGCACAAAGTATTCGGTACGTGGCGTGCACGAGGCAGTCTTCCATGGCTGGGAAGCAGCTGAAGCGGGGCGAGGGTATCAGCTTCTCTTGCGTGGGGCCTTCATACGCCCCGTACGTTGTGTATCCCCCGCGCAAACGCGAAGCATCAAAACAAGGCCGCGCCATCACCAGCAGCAACAGCCAAGCTAGAGGACCGCCCCGCAATGAGGAGGAGGAGCGGGAGAACGCGACACCTCAGCCGTTTTCATCTTCCTCTCTCTCGGAACCCAGCACCACAGAGGCCGTCGAGACAGCTACAGCGGCGGAGATACCATCATCCGATAGACATCAAACACCGCACGCCGAGAGATCGCTAGAAGAAGGCGTCGTTTCCATCCAGAAAGTGTTTCGAGGGAAGCTTGACCGCGACCGGATGAAGCACGCTCACCAGCAACATCCAGCGGCAGCGAACACCTCTAACGGTGGTCGAACGACCTTTGGAGAGGCGGCAACGAAGAAACCGGCATTGATGATCCCTACGGTGTTCGACTACGAGGGTCGCGTGGGGTGGCCGTTCGTATGTGTGCCGCTAGAGGGGTTCTTGCGGTCGACCTCGATTGGGGTGATGGGGATGGATACGTTTGAGCAGATGGGTAACAGCGGGAGCGTGCGCGACCAGCCGGAGACCGGTGTTGTGCGCATGGTGGCGGAAGCGGCGAGGTCAGAGCGCTGGAGTTGGAATGAAAGCAATCTTATGCGAGGAACATCTTCGTTGTCTCTTTCCTTCCCTATTCTGCAAGGAGATTTTGGGCAATGCAGTGTCGTTGTTCATGAGTTTGACGACCTGCAGAACTGCACCTATGCGGTTCATGTAGGTGAGACAAGAACAGTAACAATATGGCAACGGATCTCACGTGACGTTTGCCTACCGTTCTTCTTGTCTCATCTCCAAACTGAATGTGTTGGGCTGTTTCGTGCTCTCTTATCCTTCAAACACAAAGAGCCCTTGGGAATGCCGTCAGCTGCGACCGTCGGCGGCGCGCACTGAAGGCCGTGGCCGAATCGTGTCTCAGCTTGAAATCCTCTCTGATCGACGTGCTCATTACGACAGCCAAGGTGAGTGGGCCAGCAAGAGACAGTGCTTGTCATGCCGTCTGATATGGCCCCCAGCCTGGGCAGCGCAGCATTTTCCTGTCCGAAACGAGCGAAATATGTTGCTATGCACACGGCAATTCGCCGATTTTTTTGTCATACCCCCCCCTCCCCGCCGAGGTTGTCTCTGTCATTGGAGTGGTGTTCTTGTTGTACGTGCAACTGGCTTCGACTACTCGACATTGGTCGAATGGACGCACGACTCTAGTGATTATCATGCGACGCCGCGATGCTTCGCCCCACTCCATACCAGGCCGTGGAGGAATTGATCATCCCCTCTTCCCGAGCAGAGGTGTGGAAGGTCGACCCTTCAGACGGGAGTCTGTTCGTCGTTACGAAGCGCTTGCCCGATCCTACAGACCACCTCCTAAGCGGGGGCGCCACGCAACCGCCGGACGAGCAGTTGTCTTACCGACAACTGAAAGTGGAGGTTACAGCGGCGGAGTTGTCCCCGGCGATGGCAGGTTCGTTGTCGTGCCTGTCAAGCGGTTGAAAGAAAAACTGCTTCGACCGAGCAAAAAAGGAAGGAGCCAGTACATTCGAACGGTTCTGTGGAATAATGTATATTGGCGAAATCAGAAGGTCAGCTGATATCATGTGGAGATGATAACTATGATCTTCATGAAGTTGTTTTGGCTCGAATCGCCCAAACCTTTATGACCGCCCTGACAGATCAGCCTGCAACATCCTCCGACCCCCCCGCCCCTAGACTATTACGAGGTAGCGCCATCTGCTGCAGCCGAGCCCGTGCGGGCCATCCAATCAGTGGCTGTTAGAATTTCTACGACAACGGGAGAGAGAGGCGTGGGCAGGGACAGCATCATTGGCGCTGGAAACAAGGGCAGCAACAGCAATGCCTTCCGAACGGCACCTTTTTATGTGAAGCAGCTGAGCACGACGACCTGCTCTCCGCAGTGGTACGAGGGCCACCGCCGCCTCCACGTCACCAACAGCACTACCAACCTGCGGGCCGAGATTCTTGCCAAGGTTGACCTCGGCAGCAGGGGCAAGGGCGGAACTACAATGGGCAACGAGAGAAGGGGGCAGCAACAAGAGCTACAAGCGCCACCGGCGGAGGGGGTGACGCCTACCGGGAGGGGGGTCGGAGGAGCGGCGGAATTAGCAGCGAATAGTGAGATTGTCCTGGCCAACGCCTCGGTCGATCTCAACGCTGTTAGAGACGGGTACAACTACGTTCAACTGTTTTCATCGGGGCATCGAGATGATGACATGGACGATGGTGGGGGTTCTTCGACGAGGAGAGCGGGTGAGGAAGCGGGCGTAACGGCGATATTAATACTGTAATTTTGTAGTCGTTGACTAATGACCGACGCGTTCTTCGATCGAGCGGAGCACTTCATCCGTCTAGCCGGCGGCAACAGTAGCCACTTATGCTCGTCATGGTGTTGGACTTGCCATGCGTTGTACGAATTGTTTATTCCAAGCACCCACTCAAACACGGCAACTGTCGTTGTTGCGGGCCTGGGGGCAACCATCGCCATTAACCACATGGCGAAGAGAGTGGTTCTGAAACCGATGGGCAGGGAACAGATGAAGAAAAATACGCGACAACGGAAAATTCAGCCCGTCCCATGGGACAGCTTGTTCTCCACTTGAGTTGGGTGGAGCCCAGTGAAGGCGGAGCCTCCAAGGTCGAACTCGGGGGGGGGCGAGGTTACACAACACTGGTCATTCATGGGGCGTCTGGCCTGGCAAAAGCCGATCGGTGAGTTTCACATAAAGAAGGAGAGCGCGATCGAGGTTTCGTCGGTTGCAAGCCATGCCACTCAGCTCTAGGCGCGTGTCTGGTCGTTCACGGTTTGCCTCGCAGCACTGCCACACTCTGCCAGCTCAAAAAAAGTATACTCCGTTTGTACAAACACTTAGTACGGTGAGTCAAGGCTGCACACTATGAAATGGGACAACTTATCAACGACAGACTTTGAGAACACGCGTCGAAACGCCCTCCGGTCCCTCGACAAAACCTAAAAGCCTCGGCGACTCGGATCCATACTGCGTCGTCAAGTGGGGAGGGGTCGAGCTGGGGCGCACGAAAACCTGCCCAAACACACGCGAGCCGAATTGGAGCGATGAGAGGTTTCGACTTGCCCTGCCAGCCGAAGAACCCAACGACACAAAGAAACATCTGCCGCTAATTTTGGAGGTTTGGGACGAAGATATGCCGGGGACTAAAGGCGACTTCTTGGGGCAGGTGATTCTAAACCCCACCACCGTACCCTGCCTTGGTAACCTCACCCTTTCCCAGTGGTGTCGGTGGCCTGACGCAAACCATGGGAAACAGCCTTGTGACTTCAGCAGAAAGCAGCCTTCGTTCACTGAATGGTGCAGATTGCGGCGCCTCCGTATTACGCCGTGATGATGCTCGATAGTCGATCCTGGGCATATAAACACTTCCTCAATGCCATCGAAACACTGTTAAAAGAAATAGAACTGGACTACGCAACGGCGAACGTAGTGTCTAGATTTGTTTCTATGTGGACCTTGTTCCGACATCGGCTACTTTTCAACCGGAGCGGCCGGGGGTACGTAACCGCGACAAGCAAGAAACCAATTTGGCGTCGACAACACGTAAGGGGCATAGGGCAAGTACCTCAAGGTGGTGATCCGGAGCCCACCTTTACCTCGTCGAATGTTAGAGGATTGGTAATTTGACTTGATTAACAAAACGTGTTGCATTTTTTGGCATTGAATCCTGTGGTCGTGAAGGTTGTGCTGCAAGCCAACAAGTTGGAAGACCCGGCCCCGGGACCCCGAGGGATCGTGCTGTCGAAAAAACCCGCGGCCGAGCTGAAGCTTTCCAAGCAGAAGCTCGTGCAAGGGATGGTGGAGTTCTCCTTGGAAACTGTGCGCGCCGCAGCCGCTGCCGAAGCAGCCGCCTTGGCTGAAAGTGGTGGTACTATTGCTCTCTCGAAAAACGTCGAGGGCGACACGTCAACAGCGTCCGCAACGGACAGAGTTCAAGCCGGCAAAGGAGGGACTGCGTCTTTCGCTGGCGGGGCTTGTAGGAAGGCGGAGAACGGCAGCGACGGCGAGACGACGACGGGACCTGTCTGGCGGGACAACAATAAGGGTGCAGAGACCGGCAAATCAGCTGAAGGAGGAACAAATGCTGCAGCAGCTGCTTCGGGGCGGAAGGGCCGGCAACAACAACATGCGGCGTCTGCTGCGGCGGCGACAGCCGCTGCTAAATCAGTTGCTCAGCAGAGGTTGACAACCGAGTGGGAAGGGGTCACGTGGGACGAAGGCGACATCCCTGAGGCCGAGAGCTTGGGTACAGTCAGCGTAGGAATAGCGACCATTAGTAGCGCCAGCCTGGGCACCGACGGTAGCATCACCCTCGGTACCGTGGAGCTGGCCTCAAAGGACGGGGACATGGCGCACGCTGGACTTTCAAACACAGTGCCCCAAGACCTTCTAGTTTGCTTGAAGGAGGTTGTTGGCGTAAGAGAGGTAAGGTCCACTCTTTGTAGTACCAATGAATACTACCGTAGACCCACCTCGGCACTATGGTCTTGAAACGTCACTTGGAATGCCCATGCAGGCTCTTCCCAACATTTCAAGGGCAATCTAGACTTGTCAAGCAGACCAACTGAATCAAGCAAAGCGCAAAACTCTGGCTTTACCTATATCCGTTTTGTTGGTCTTTTCGAAGCCTCGACACGTGGTCGCAGAACGCGCCAAGCTTCTCCTGCTTTGTTGACCCAAAGTGTTCGATAGCGAACGAGACGAAGTTAAGTCGATATTCTTATGCGTCGACAACAACCGCTCCTGCTTGCTTCCAGGCCCACAACTTTGGAGACTTGAAATATTTCTGCGTACTTGAAGTGGGGCAGCGCGAGGTAGACAGAACTCGCCAAGTGAAGCCTAACCCGGAATTGGTATGGGGAGCGCCCGAGGAACGATTCCGCGTGGCGATCGAAGACATCAAGGAATCAAAGCCCGCTCCGAACAGTATAGGCTTTGTCAACACAACCAATGCCACGGGTGCTGCCACTCCCGCTAGTGGCCGAGATCCGCCATCACTGGCTTCGGCAAAGAACGACGAGCAGGTGACACGGTCGCTCGCGGAGGCGGGGGGTGATGGTGAGGGAGCCGGCGAGGCAACCTTCAGCGCGGATCTAGACGGCGGCGCGCCTGTGTCTGTGTTGAACATCCCGGCGCCGGCCTTGCGCCAGCGTAGCCAGCAAACACATCACGGGCAGGAGGTGGCAGCGGGCGCTTCCTCCCTTACGATAAGCGTATGGAGCAAGGGGACGGTGATGGGAGGGCGGAGGGATGTCCTCGTGGGCACTGCGACGGTGCCCACGCGGTACATCGACCACCCTCCAGGGGACGCCTGGATTCCCCTCGCCGCCGGAGGGGATATCCACGGAGATGGGCAGGCGGGGGGCAAGGCCGAACACGAGGCCGGAGGCGGTGGACGTGCGGAGGATGCAGCAGTCGTTGGGACGGAATCCAAGAACCCTGACATCACTCCCGCTCCTGCCGGTGGAACCACCACCGTGAGTGCCAAACCGGGGCGAAGAAGTCCATGGGGCATTGGGCTGTTCAAGAGAGGAGGGGGTGAACGAAAGCGGGGGGGGGACACCAGTTCGGGCCAGCATCGGACACTAAGCTCGAGTTCGGTTCACGTCTGGCTTGGAAAGGCCCGCAGGGGCAGCACTAGCGGCCAACAGCCTGGGGAGGGATACGCGATACTTCGGATACACTCTGCGTCGGGACTGCGAAAGGTATGGGTCTGTGCTTGTCAACACTGGCTCATGGGACGAACGGTACCGTAGGATATGGATATCGTTTTTTTAACGGTGGCAGAAAAAAAAAGTACTGCCACAGCAGTGGATTCCATGGACGACGCGGTCAACCCACGGCCTCTGGCAAAGGTCCTCTGCTCCCGTACACAATCCACGGAATAAGTCTGGGGCATGTCCAAATGAACACCTTCCGTGGTCCCTGTATCCCCCTGGGCGTTGCCTACATACCGGCGAAGGGAACCGCCAGACGGCAAGTGGAAGTGATCCATTTAATGGCTTGTAGGGTATGGTTCTAATCAATGCAACAATTTGATAGCATTAACCCACGAGGGTGAGTGGACGCCCGAATCCCGGGTGAGCCTTTCAACACCGACTATAGCTGAAAAGCCATCGTTTGTATGCTTGGATAGTTTGGACAATACAGGGCAGTGCGGCGCTGCTTGTCGGTGCGCGATTGAAAGCAATACTTCGAAACATTAGGCTTAACTGGTAGAGGGTGGTGGGCCTCAACCTTGGCTGTGCCTTGCTCGCGTGAGCCCCCCACCGATACATGCAAAACATTGCTCAACAAACTCAGGCCGATCGATACGGAAGTTCCGATCCGAAGTGCTTCGTCGTCTGGAACGGTGAAAAGGCCGGATCGACGTCCACGGTGTACGATAAAAGTGACCCTTGCTGGGACCGCGAAAAGGAGGCTTTCACGCTCCGCCTTCCTCGGGACCGAAGCTTGTGCCAGTTGCACGTTGACATCTGGGACATGGATTTCGCAGGCACCAAAAGAGGGTGAGTTGACAACTACCTCGACCCCCATCGGTACACAAAACTCTTGCTAAAGAGTACTCGCCGGGTGAGGGAGAGGGGGCTCAGCTGAGGTACCCGACAGCGAAATGATCACATGAGTTGTGCTAATCTTGGCAGCCCTATCTTTCTACCGACCCCGCTACTGTACGTTGTGTCTACGAACGACATGAGTCCCGTTTTTCAGTTCGTCGACCGCGAGCGGTAAACTAAAAACAAAATTGTCTCAATAAGCGATAGACCGTGGAATGTGGCGGTGCCGTCCGATAATAATTTCCCCCCTCCTCTCTTGTAACCTAACCTGACGAAACTACAGCGACTTTCTTGGGCGGGCTACCATACCTACTGTGGCGGTCCTCCATCCGCCACCTGGAGGGGTGGAAAACCCGATTACACTGCCACTTCTCCCTCTCAACGAGCCAGCAGATGCTCCAAACGCCGACAGGGAACGAGTGATGGAAAGGGGCGGCATCGAGGCGACAATCGTTAACCCCACGGCCGCGGCTGTTGATGCTGGTCCCACCGGGTTGAAAGTCACCGGCAGCGCCGGTGCTCTGAGCCCCGCCGCAGTGGTACCCATTCCACGCCGCGACACCCGCCATGGTAGGGGGGCGGGAACGGCGGGGGGGTTCGCGAGCAGGATGATGCACAGCGTCCAGAAGCACCTCCAGATAGGCGACACTATCACCGGGACGCTGACAGTTTCGCTAGAACTCTTTCAATACGGCGATCAAGAAGAGGGGCTGGCGCTCGGCGGAGGCGTTCGTGAGCCGGGGGCACCGCGGGCGCGCGCTGGGTATGCGGCGTCGAAGTTCAAGGTGGCCGAGGATATTTACGAGGCGAGGAGAAGGAGAGAGAGGGAGGGCATCAACGTGCCGCGGATGTTGTCCAGAGTGCAGGATCTGCACGACACGCTGAAAGGTGTGATATTGGTGATGTAGTGCGACATGGTATAGAGGAAGGGGGTCGAGGGTTTCTGCTCCGATATCAGGGGTCAAGGGTTTCTACTTCGATATCACTGGTACAAAATGTTCGAACGAGCAGCATCCAGCGTTCGATATTGAGTTTCTCCTGTCCTGAAGTCCACGAAGCCTGAACGATTTCCGTATTTTCCTGATATCAAGTGCTGTCCGGCATAGACTATGACCAACGCTTGTTGCGTCCATTGAATCAGGTTGTGTGATCACGGGACCGGCGGCCGCCAGGTTTTCGGACATGACAAATGGAGCTGCGGCAATTATCCCCGAGGTCCTCGCAGGACAGGTCCTCAGTCTCGCCCGCCGGGCAGGCGGAGCGGGGGGGCACACTGTGCTGGCCGCTAGCGGCTGCGACGACCTGGCTCGGGACCGACTCGTCGTGCTGCTCCAACCCGCCCCCATAGACGGGATACACAGTGACGGTAGTGTTGTTGGTGGTGAGGTGGGTGATACTGTTTCGCGGTCTGGTAATCAAGGAGCCGTTGGGGAGAAGGAAACTGCGGCAGGGAGGGAGCGGCTGCGTCAAGAGAAAGACAGTGCTGACGTCGTGGTCCGAGGGGCGGATGAAAGACCGAGGCATGTCATCGTCATCCCTTGTCTGCCGGGCCAGGTGTGAGAAAAGAGCTTCGCCAACGGGCTGAATTGGCTCGTGACTTCAAGTCGATATGACCGAGGCTTCTTACTGCGCACGTTCGTCAACGATGCAAGACAAGCCAACCGTGCAAATGGCAACAGTAGCCATATCCGCTTCCATCTATGCCACGCAATAAACATCGTGCGAGACAAAGCTAAGACGTAGCAACGGTTGTAGAGATTATGTGAGACATTGCCGGACAGAAGAAGTCTCAGAATAAAATCGAGATGCTCCAGTTTGCACGACCTTTCCTGCTGATGAGTCTGCTATTGTACCGCCGTCTGCGTTCGAATCAACAGATAAGCAAGGAGGACGTCACCGTTGCGTTGGAACTGGCTAGAGCGGCGGACGAGGCTTGCAATACCGTTCACAAGCGGCGATTACGCCAGTACATGCTGGATCGCTGCGCCGAAAGCGTCGAAACGCTTTGCTTCAAGAGAAAACAGCACCACGAAGGTTGGTTTTGGCGAAGAGGGTCAACTAAACTCACGTCATTGTGCCTGGTAAACGTATTTTTTGTTGTTACGTGAGAGGGAGGCTGTGCGTGACGCGTGCCGGAAGTTCACAACATCCTTCGCGAGTGTCCAACATCCAGCCAATTTCACGTTGGAATTCTGGCTCTTGTGAAAACGCCCCGTCCACCCATGGGCGTTTGGGGGCATACCATCGACTCTCCGCGGCAGGTCGGGTTAGGCGTTTGCATCCCCAAGTGGTTGATGCGATATGCAATGCTCGTCACAGCCACACAATATCCGTCTTCCCAAGTCAACATTGTTGTTCTTGCGGCTGATATAGTCTCATACTCTGACCCCCACACCTACCGCAGGCCTCTTTGGCGATGTGGTGTCAACGCTGAATCCCGCCTGTAGCGGGGCCGGACCGGAGGTCGATGGCCCTCTTCGGGACATGCCGGTAGCTGTGTTCCTCCTCTCCAGTGGAGGATACCGCCTGAATGTGGTGGCGTCATCGGCCGGGTGGAGCGACGGGCACGCCTTCAATCAATGTTCGGCGGCGACGAGCGAGAGTGGCGATGCCGGGGCCCGGTCTGTCACTTTGGCCGGTGATTTGGAGGTGTGTGGGCGATAGTCGATCTACAGCACAACCTATCTATGCTTTTCACGTAGCATTTCAATATCATGTTAATTTCCAGCCGAATGTAGACCTACGAACAACCCTGCCAAGGAGGCGACAAACCCACCAGACGTTGGAATGTTCATGGTCAAGTGTGTACGATCTGCGCAAAAGTCGTCCGCGGGTATTTGTGTCGCGCATAACTCGTTCCTATTGACTATTGTTGCACCAAAATTCAGTCTGTCGGGCGGTGGTCTGGGCCTCTGCCGATGGCCAGCGGGCTGGTCAAGCGCGCTGTAGAACGAGGCGATATTTTCCTCGTCATCGAAAGCACCGTCTACGTTGCCAACGTCTCGTGGAGCAGCATCTGGCAAGAGGTAAAGTGCAGCCGTACCTTGGTTGACACTCGAGTGTGGGCGGTGGGATCAGGCACGGGGATGGTGTTTCTTCCTCTTGGGCGTGTGTTAGCACGACAACTGTTGCACTTAATCAATGTAGGTTTAACGCTTTTGCTCAGATATCTGGTATCATGGAGGTAACTGACTGCGGTGAGCCAGCAGAGGGTCGAGGTTGGGTGCGACCCTCGTGTTCGTGTCTGTCTCGCACGCATCATGTCGGCCGAACCTCTGTTTTGTTGTGCGAAGTACTTCGGCTGTCATTGAGTAAGAGGATCGATCAATACGAAACCACCCTTTACCGATTTCAACATCATCAACATTGACCTCACCTTTCGATAGCTGGTTCCCTTCCTGTATTTTTCTGTTTTTCGACCTCATCGACCTCGAAACCCATCCTGATGTCTTAGCACACGCTTTCACCCCCTTTCCCTGGTTATTTGCTTCCCTCGACTCGAACGTTCGCAACGGAGCCAGACAATGCCGCACAAGCACGTTTCGTCCAGTTCCGCCCTCGAGACGTCCGTGACCCTGCTCCGTGAAGCCATCGGCCCAGAGGCTGCCAACGCCTTCGTGCTTGCCCCATTATGGGCCCACGGTGTCGGCTCCATTGGTCTCATTACGATTGCCGACATACCGTACGCGAAGCAGTCGCCTGTAGCCGGGCGTGGCGGCGGCGGCGGTCGACGAATTAATCACGGCCATCGGGTGGGTTCTACAAGGCGACCGGGGAAGTATGATACTGGGCACGGTGCCTCACACGAAGATACGCCAACGCTTGGAGAAGTGGGAAGAGGACAGCGCCTTCGCTACAAGGTTGGCGCGGGCGTCGTTGATTTCGCAAGAAGGGTCGGTGTGGCCCTGGGCACCGCCGCGTTTCAGCTCCGGAACCAAGGCTTGGTTACGAGAATCAAGGTGAAAGGGGGTGGGCATAGTAGATACACCAGTCCCGGCGACGGCTGTGGGGGCAAAAATCGATCTCGGTTGGGTTCTCCTCATTCCCCGGCCCGGCCATCACCACCACCGGTGGGTGGGCAGCAGGGGACCAGCATACGAGGGACATCCACCGCGCAAGGGACCAGGTGTGCACATGTAGTTCTATGTAATAACCAGAATTAATTAACAACAGCTGTGGTGAGACACACGAAAGATCAGCAAGATGAGGTGTTCGAGGCTTCGTGATGACGCCCTCACACGGAGTCCGACAATCATACCGCCGCCGTCTGTTACTCCGCTAAGAGTGTTGTCGACTTGTTCGGTCCGAACTAGCGCCTGGTCTAACCGACCGACATTATACCGAAACCGGTAGCACGATACGTATGAGCTTCTGGCGATATGCTTTGAGCCCTAGCAGCTTGAAGAGGGTTCAACGATGAAAACGTATGTATGTTCATGAGTAGTAGTAGGGGGGGCGCGATTTGAGCGGTTTCAAGAGCTGAGAAATAAGGTTCTCACTGTTGACAGAAGGATGTTGTAATGTTGGCCCACGTTGCCCGGGCGGAGTCACCGGTATGTTCTGACGCTGCTATTGTGTCTGCATTCCGCCGACCGCTTCAGCCGCAGCAGGAGCGTGACAAGGACAACGAACGTCCCGATTGGAGACAGCAACAAACACGGACGGTTTTCGTCACCGCCCAGAAGTATACGTCGGCCGGAATTAGACGAAGTCGGGTTGTCGAGCTGGGACTCGCTTGACATGACATCCATTCTCCGTTGGCCTTGCCCCTACGAGGTAACATACTGGATTGAACATTCAACCGCACCACTGACAACCGGGGCGAAATGCGTGGTTTAGTTTTAAACATGGCGGAGGACCTCCTTCGTGTGTGCAGTCCGTGGATATCGATGAAAAGTGTTGCTCGTAACTGAACAACCACGTGGTTGTCTGTTCTGCTGCGGGGGATGCCCCTGCCCCCTCTTTTTTTTTAAGTTTTCTGTTTTGAAAGGCTTTCGACAGCCAGCATACCTGTGTACCTCCCCGATCAGCATCAATGAACAATCTGAGTCGTTTTCGATCGCTTTTCACATTGTCCTCGTTCCTGTTGCGTTTGGCGACATCAACCAGGCGGTCTGCAACATCTACTCGGCCGCCGTCAAGGCGCTCACCGAGGGCTTGCCCTGGGTTCGCGCCGCGGACGTGTGGCACGTGTCTTCGATCCCTGACCACAAAAAAGTCTTCGAGCCCGAAACACCTCCTCCACCAATAAAGACTCGGAAGGACAACAACGACGTAGCCCTCGACGACGAAGCCAGCATCATCGACGGCAACAACACAGTAGACGGAGACATGGGCAGGATCGGTTCGTTAACCGTCGACTCTGGTGGCACTGCCGGGCACGGTGGAGAAATCCGCGGCGGGGCCTACTTCTGCGAGCGGATCGTCGGGAAGACGTGGTCGGGTTCGCCCGCCGTGATTCTTCGGTCTCTGCGGGTACCGGGCAGGGACGAGGCTGTGTGCGCCGCCCGATGGCTGCGCGGAAATGGCGAGGGTGGCGGAGGCGTGTTCGGAGACGACGACGGCTGGACCGACCAGCGCCTCCGGTTGCTGGCGGACGAATGGAGAGCGTGTACGTCGGCTGGCGGCATGCCGGACTACGAGTTGGCGAGCGGCGGGGGTGGTGGTCCCGGATTCCGGTGCCGAGACATCACTGCCACCACCGCCCCCGCCACCGTAGGGAGCGGGACCTCCGGCACCGCCGCCGCCATCGCGGGGTCCGACACCGCAGCGACATTGTCATCACCGCTACCCCTCGCGTTATCACCTCGAGCGACGCCGCGTCCATTTATGCTGCACACCGGCCACGTCATCGTCCCCTTTCTTAATGGGCGCGTGCGGGAGACCGAGAAGGGGTGTCCCAACGTGGTCATCGGGCACGGAGTGGTTCTCGCCGTCGATCGCGGGGTAGACTGGCGGTGTTGGGAGTCCCACCTCACGGAGACCGCCGCGGTGGCCACGCGATGCTTCGATCGCTTGGAGCGCGAAGGGGAGAGTGTAGAGAGAGAACGGGTCAACGATTGGGCGGAGAAACTCCTCAATCGGAACACAGCTGGTCCGAAGTAGGGGCAGTATAGACTTTGGTTTGTTTGACGGAGAGTTTGTTCGCGGTACGACTGACTGGCTTGACACCAAGCAGACGAGTACGGTCGATCGTGTATGGAGTAGTTCCGAGAATGCGGTGATCGGGACGTCGAAAAGTTAACGGTACTCAGTGGTCTCATGTTCTACTTGACCTCTGGGTAACCTCAAAACAGTCTGCTGTGGTACCCTGTTCAGATCAAGCCAAGTCTCGATGGGTAAAGGGGGGCAATGTGATCTTTTGGCATGTGTGGTTGGTTCATGATTTGTTTGTGACAGATTCCGTGCCTTCACTCGATCCTTACGACGCACACCTTCGATACCACAAAGCGTGCCCCAAAACAGAGGATGGAATCGGCTAGCTGATCGGAGTCAAGTTTAGCAAAGGACAACCGACGAATGCCCCTCGATGTGTCATTCCCGCTCCCGTTGTCGCAAACAAGCAAAGATACCACCGCGCCGCCGTAAATAAACACAACACTACAAAACAAAGATTGTCGGTCAATGCCGCCAACTTGCCCTAATACGGGAATACTGTACATGTGGCGGCAACGACCGACTGCTCTTTCCGCTCTATGCTAAATAAAACCTCCCACGCTCTCGTCCGAAAAGCCGCAAAACACCGCCGACGTACAAAATAAAGGAAGTCTGGGCGGATGTGGTCGCTACTGCTACACGAGCGTAGCCTCCGTTCTGCCCGAACGACGCAAGTGCTGAGAAGCTGTGATCTGACATGATCAACGCCGATCATGGGCTGGACCAGAATGTTCTTGATCGGGACCAGTCAGAGCCAAGCGGAGAAGCAGCGAAGCTGGTTCGCCTGTGGAAAGGGATTGCATCCTACCAATTCGGGACCCATTTGGCAACTAAGGTTCGATTGGATCGAATACATGTCAACGCATAAATATCCACTAGTCCTTGGGGTCGAGCGCAGCAACACCCGGCAGAACCTTCCCCTCCAAAAGCTCGAGAGACGCGCCTCCGCCGGTGGAGATGTGCGACATCTTGTCCGCTAGTCCAGCCTGACGTTTCATTTCGATTGATTTCGATTCGACGTTAATGTAGCCACAAACAAACAACGGTCGCAAGGGGATCGTCGGAAAAACACAAAGTAACAAGAGGGACAAAACGACAGGAAAGCGAAGCATTCCCAGAAATAAACTTGAACAAGACCACTACACAGGGTTTGTGGCGTCCCTGCAAGAGCTGTGACGACCCAAGAAGGACGAAATAACGGTTTTCATTCCGGTACGTTTTTTAAACAAGAGAATTGAAAACGAAAAAGGTATATTGTTCGATGAAAGGCGTACAACAGTGTTCGACTCTTCACCTGTTCGACAGCAGCCACCGAGTCTCCGCCTCCGATAATGGTGATGCAACCCTTCGCCGTGGCCGCTGCAAGAGTTTCAGCCACTGCAAACGTTCCCTGGGGTGTACAAGGGGGGTGGGGGGGTGGACTCTGAAAACAAGATTTCCAACTAAAAAAAAGGGTGGAGATCATCGCAAACACGGTGGGATCGCAGGGATAGGATTGCCTGTAGTCGCGTGGGTGGCCAGAAAAAAACGTCAACTACCGTTGATATCCTTCATGTACTTATGAAAAAAACGACCAAGACCGTTGATAACCTTCATGTACGCATGGGATACTGACCAAGATTCACGCATACCTTGGCAAACGCCTCGTACTCGAACACTCCCATCGGCCCGTTCCAGATCACTGTCTTGCAGTCGGCCAGCTTACTCTGACGTGTTTGAAAGGGGTTGAGGGGGGTTAAGAATTGCTTGCTAGTCAATCAAACCATTGTCACAACTGCAACGTGTCAGGCAACGCCTATGTACAACACACCCTTAACAAGAGCGCAGGTACTCCTGCGGGCCCGGCAAACACCCGCTGCTTGCTCCTGCAACCACGAGTAGTTATATCTCTGGCGATGAGCATCTTGTACGCCATGTAGAGCGTATTTCGCGGACATGCCTTTATTTTTCCGTGTAACACACGGACGGTCGGTCCGTCTTCCATGTATCCCACAAAAAAATGAATGAAAACACACGATAAAAAAAATACCAACCTGGATGAGCGAGGTGGAGTCGGGCCCGTTGTCCAGTCCCATCCAGCCGTCGGGGATGGCGTCCACGGACGCCACCTACAAATGCGCCACCGTTTTTTTTACAGTTCGTTGGTGTCGCGGCCACCGGTGATCGGTGATCGGGAAAGAAGGTCACCGGTGATCGGGAAAGAAGGTTTTCGTCTGGTGCATTCATCGCCACTAGTCGCGTCCATGTAACAGTGGGCGGCTAGCGCGAAACATCGGTAGCAGACTAGCATACCATCGCACCAGGCCGAGGCGCTCATGAACCACAAGAATCGTAGTGAACACGGCGGTCCTTCTGGCACTGAACGCTAATTCTGATAACCGAGGGCCGACGCGACGGTTCTGTTGTTGGGTCGATCGAACGCGTATATATATATATATATATCGGGTGCTAATGTTCTCGTAAACCAGTAGTTGTGGGGGACAACCGGTCGGCCGAATCACCTTACAGGCACGAAACTACCGCCGACCACCATGACCACCACGATAGTTCACCTCCTACAGTGAAATAGTGCCACCACCACCATCTCTACCACCGCCGACCGTGCGCATTTCCCCCTTGGAGTCAGTCGAGTCACCTGTGTGTTAGCGTCGGCGGAGAACGAGTCGGCCAACACCACGTCAGTGGGCAAGATGATCTCGACGCCCTTGGAAGCCGCCGTCTTCTCCAGCTCGCGCGCCTGATCATGATGCACACGTGCCAATCGATCGATTGCATGTACACATACACATCGCCACCAACCAACGGCAAGTCAAAGGCCGACGCAGGCCAGGACAGAGTTACGACCTGAGACGTTACAACCAATCCGATCGACAGCGTTGCCTCCGGCATCATACGTCTGCAATATGGCCGGTCGGTGTCCACAACATCAACTGCTGTACACGTAACACTTCTGATGAACATCACTCAAGTGGCCAAGGCTGGTGAGATAACGCTACACATCTATGCACGGGGTGAGAGCGATGGACAGCAGCGGTACCCGCAGCATCAGCACGGCACCCTCACATGTCATGGTATCAAACTTGTGCACGATCTCATTTCGAGCTTACTTACGAGGTCGAGTTTGTCGTCCTCAACCAGGGAAGACCCCACGCTCAATCCCCGCGCCTTGAGGAACGTGAACACCATTCCTCCGCCTATCACCAGCATGTCCACCTTAATGAATCGGCATGACAAGGGTGAACACGAAATCATTTTGGTGTTGGAAAAGCTGTGGCTGTTGGGAGGTTTGAGTAGTGGTCGTTCACGAACGCCTCGTCTCGCGACAACAAGCAGGGAAAAAATTACGAGTCAAAAAATGAAACATCCGAAACGCACAAGAATCGCACCAGAGATACTGTAGTGATGTTGCAACGGAAAAGAAGTGGACACCTACAGCTAATTAATGCAATCCAGAAACGGAATCCGTCGAAAGTAGAGTAGCGCCCGCTCACAGGAGATGGATGTGTCTGGCGTGTTTGATCGAGCTTGATCCGAGTTGGGCTTGGCTTAACACAATAGCGGTGTTGTTGCCCCCTCCACATTGCTTGGTGCCGAAACACGTCATTTTTGTCTTCGTATTTGATAGCACTTCCGTTGCTTTGTGTTGCATGTAGGGAAAGGAGCTCCGCCCTCAGACATACCCACGAAACGAAAACAAGCGGGCAACGCACACCACGTCCACGCGAACAACAAAATCACACACACACACACACACATCGTAGAGCGACCAACCAACCTTGTTGAGCATGGAGTCGATGACGCCGATCTTGGAGGACACCTTGGAACCCCCCACGACAGCCGCGAACGGCCTCTTGGGCTCTGCCACCGCACCCTGAACCCGTACACCACCCCCAAAACGAAGGTAACGACAAGACCACCAATGAAGGGAACGGCGGCAAACAAACCGGAACTTGTGTGGTCAGGATATGCCACCTGGTTGGCGAACAAATGTTCATGCGTCCTTCCGCGGTTCAAGCTCAGACTAAGCACGCCCGCCAACTGGATTCGTGCGCATGAGACTGTTGGAAGCGTCCTACGACATCGATTTTCAAGCAGCGACCAGCACCTCCCGACAAGTCATCAAACTGCCGTGGGTTAACGAACTTAGCATACGTACGAGAAATATACAAGAAAGCGGGAAACGCATCCCCCACCCACTACAAAATTTGGATCGAACTCCTTGCCTGGAGATAGTCTAGCTCCTTCTGCAGCAGGAACCCGGCGACAGAGGGCGAGAGGTACCTGCCAAAGGCACACCATGCACGATGGCACGATGAGAGAAACGCGTCAACATCACATCATATCATGCCGTGAGAGCGCCGGGGGCATCATACCTCGGCGAGTCCTGATCGATGGGAACACAATCACCAGCCGTATGTGTTCGGTGATATGTACAGCTAGCAGCAGTTGAAGGCCGGCAGCAAAGCATATTTCCACGCGACCTCCAGCTACGGTTCCCAAAATATTCTGCCCCCCACGCCACGGGACGTCCCACTCTGGTCGAGTCCCGGATCACGCTGGTTTTCACATTTCCATCGAACTGGGGCTTCGTCCATACTACTGACTGCACGGAGGCGAATACAAACAAGCACGTATTTTGGTGTTCAGTGCATGCGCCCCTGCACCCTGTCCTTCCCCTGCTTACTTGGTCACCCCTTCCGTAGAGCCGTGGGCGCGGTGAGCCGTCCCAAAGGCGTCGTTCACGAACAGGTCGGCGTTCGCCGCCAGCTGCTCTCGAAACAAGCAAACCAAGAGAGCGGGCGACGGCGAAGGTCACCGGATGAAACACACGCGAACAGATACCCTAACGACGTGTGTTCCTGAAGGCGTCATTTCAGGGAACGTCATCTGTTGTCTGCCAGGCTTTATCAAACCAATTGACCAATGAGGTCATGCGCAGGGAGGATGGGTGGGGTTCTATAAACCTGGTGCTGAGAAAACAAACGGCCGAAAGAAAAAAAAAGTAAGGGTACATCACCCTGCGCCTATCTACGAAAGAGAGTGGGGTTGCAACGCATCGTCTCCAACATCACCTTCTCACATTGATGAGCAGCTCACAAATCGATAGACGTTATTCTTCTGTGCACCATGCAAGATGGTCTTTTCAGCCGCCGCACGCCCAAAAGTGACCTTGGGTGTTCCTTGATAGTCGGCGCCAACTGCCCTAACAAACCTAGATATCAGTTACATGGGCTAGCTCGAGGTGTATACCTTCTTCGCGAAGTCGGAGTCGTTCTTGGTCTCCTCCTTGTAGAACCGGACTATTTTAACAACAACAACAACAACGGTGATGCCGACAAGACAATCAGAACGAAGGAACAAGAGGGTGGGCGGGTATGTATGGAGAAAGAGGCAAAGATGTGGGGGGGGATCGACATCCGATGGACGGTTTCTCCACGACACAATCACGCGTACGAGTTGCCATGGGTGACACGTGGCCAAACAAACGCCTGAAACAGGGTTTTTCGATGCTACTTTCAATTCGCAAAATCCATCCACGGCGTGCATTCGGAACGTCAAAGACCGGAACAAATTCCTCCACTAAACGCTCGACCAATACTATTCCGTTCGTGTCTTCGCACGCTCCAAGACGTGGTATAGCTCAGCATCCGCACGCAACAAATGGGCGAAATTAGCCTGCGGTATTTTTCCAGTTCGTCTAATAAGGTCAAGGATAGCATGTGTCTACATAGATTCTGCGTCTAATGGTTAGAGAAAGCTCTCCGGTGCAATGGTTCATGAAACCAGTTCGGGCGATGTCATGTATTTTTCTCACCGTTCTCGAGGAGGAGAACGTCTCCGTTCTTCATGCCGTCCACCAGCGAAGCCACCTGATCGGTAAAAAAACACCACGGGGGCAACGCGAAAACGACGGCGTGCATACATAGCACGATGGACACAGACACACGAAAAAAAAAAAGCAAGGCAGTTGGACGACTTGTACGAAGGGGAAAAAACGGTGGTATTCGTCCTCTGCTCGAGAAAAAAGAAAAGCAACGGCCTGCTGCACTCCCGACATCTGCGCAATCTCGAGAACAAAAGCGACGCCACTCGTAGCGAAACAACACGCAATAACCGAAAACGAAACGAAACCGCCGCGAAGCGAAACACAACGAACTGCAAACGACACGACGATCGCCGCCTTGCCTACCTCGGGCCCGATGCAGTCCGGCGCCATGGTGACCTTCTTGCCCAGGAGCTTGGTCAGGCGCTCGGACACGGGTGCGAGCGAGAACTTGTCCTCCGGCCCGTCCTTCGGCCGCCCGAGGTGCGACGAAAGCAGCACCTGACCAATCGAAACGATCAAATAAATAAAATAAAAACGCGCAAGAGATGCGCAGGAAAAAGTAATCGAACAACGATTGCCTGCCTCTTGTGGCATACGGTACAGCAATAGCGTGACCCCTCCTGCTGTCCTTGTCCATGTTGTAGGTGCAGTTTTTGTCTGCCGTTTTTCTTCGGGGCCGGCCGGGGGGGTACCACAAAGTTTTCGAAGCACCCGTGCACCCGCCAGCGTGGCGAAACACGCCAACAATGGTCAAGAGAAAATAAAATGCCTCGCTCTTCACCCTCTCGCCTATTCTAGGGCGCTCCATGTCGACCTGTGGTTAGCTGCCCCAGGGCTCCATCCGGTGCGAACCCGGCGTGCTCTGTTCCCGCTTTGTAGGCAATGGTCTAACGACTTTGGCATGCACGGCTATTAGTAACCCCCCCCCCGTTTCTAGTCTCCCCCCGGTGTTTACCATCGGGGTTGGGATTCGTCGCTTGGCAACGACGTTGTAAAACTAGCCCCCCCATCGGTGTTTGCCATCAGGATTGGGTTTTCGTCGCTTGGCAACGACGTTGTGAAACAAGCCAATTCACTTCGTGAGCTCGGCAACCAGGTTACCAGTTTTTTTTTACCTCTGTTCGTTTTTTGGCGGTAACCATAATGGTGGTCGAGTGGATCATGTTGTGCGGGGTCGAGAAGCATCACTCCGCGCAAGGGGGATGATCGCACCACGTTGTGTTAAAATGGTCAAGCGCCCTCGAGGCAATTGCACAGTGCTTACAACTGTCTCTGGAAGTGAAAGCACCAGAAAATAAATTAATTCATACGCAGCTGTCATCCGTACGCAAGGAAGTAAGCACAAGATGCCGAACACCCTTAGCAGGATGCAGCGCACCCTTCATGCGACTCGCCGAATATCTCACGGCGCTTCGCGCTTGGTGATGTGAGAGCCTGGTCCGGTGAGAACCCGGCGTGCTCCGTCCCGGCTTTGTAGGGATGCGAGGTCAATGGTCTAACGACTACGGCATGCACGACTATGAGTACACCCCCCCCCGTTTCTAGTACACTCTGCATTGCCCTTACCTTGGCCCCCTTGTCCACGAGGAACTTCACAGTAGGGATAGAAGCGCGGATGCGAGTGTCATCGGTGATGGTGGACCCGTCAAGGGGCACGTTCAGGTCACACCGGACAAGCACCCTGTCGAGCCACGCAAGTAGGGGTGGATGTCCAGTAAACTGCCAATGACGTTCATTAAGTTGAGAGAGGATAACATTTTCCACAGAAGAGAAAACGCACAACAGCCTTGAACAAGCACGCCGGCAGCGACAGAATGGCGCTTATGTCGTGCCCTACGGCACGCCGTCGGGCACAAATTGTCTCACTCCGTCACGCGCATCCACACATACCCACGCGAAAATGACACAGGAACAGCGGGAGCCTGTGTAGTAGCGCGAGTGGGGGGGCACGTACCTCTTGCCCTCGAGATCCTCAGAGGTGAGGTCGCCCACGCTCTTCTTGGGCTTGCCGCTGCTCAAGGTCTTGTCCGAGGCACGCCTATTGATTTTGTTCGTCGAGGTCGTTTCGGCCGGCATGGTACGGCATGTTGCGGTAAGGTGCGGTACGGTTCCGCCGGCGGAGGCATCAAACAAACGGAAGGAGGACGGGAGGGAGTCAATGATGTTGCTGCTGCTGCTGCTGCTGCTGCTGCTACTGCTGCTGCTGCTTTCGTTGTTGTCGTCATAACGACAAAGCATGATCCTGACCTCTGCCTGACACCCTCATCTCCTCTACTCGTCAAAGACAAAATCAACAATTTTCCGTGGTCAGGAAACGAAGAGAGGGGTTCGAGTTACTTGTCCGAGAAAGAGAGTAGGGAGGACATGGGGGGGGGGTACGCATGTTTTACATGCCTTAGCGGTTAATAGACCGTTGACCACGTGTCCTCGAGAGGACAGGGAGGGGGGAGGGGGGGCAGACCCTAGAAGCAAACGGGAGTTGCTTACTACGCCAAGAGAGCGAGAGGCAAGCCCACCAAAACTCCGAGACTGCAGGTTTCATGCACCCATGAGACACAGAGAGAAAGAGACAAGACCCATCACGAGGGCGCGATACCAACTTTCAAAAACGTCGAAGTCAATACCACTGGATGGCTAGTCAGCGCCGGCTAGTCTAGTGGTTTGATTTCGGTTTATATAGATACCATGGCAGCGGAGATTTACACCGGTGTTGTTGTTAAGGCACGACAACGGGTGCCAGACATGCACGAGCAGGTCTTCTGTACCCCAGCCAACCGTAGGCCGAACTTGCGTGAAAATACAACAATATTTCGCAGGATAGTGCGTCCCAAAATATGGAACAAAAAAAACAACACCAAAACGAAGTACACCCAATCAACCATCCCTTCAAGGTGCCATGATCAAAATTCCTAGACTTCCGGGCGGACAAAACTCCAACGTAATAGCGCACCACGACGCTGTTACTCACTCCAGTTCGTCCAGGTCTAGGAGCACGTTGGCCTTTGCCTCGTCGAACCACGGCTCTTCCACCGCCGCCATCGATACCCCGCCCCTCCTACCGACGGTCGTGCTGCTGCGGGTCCTGGCTGTAGTAGAGCGTACCATACCCCGCGCGTGCTTCGCAGCCAGCGGCACCTGTGCGTTTTTCGTTGTTGGCGAGATTCGTTTTCCAGGAATGCCCAACCAGATCAGCAGGTGTTGCTATTAGTGGTATCAATTAGCTGGGATATTTTCCAACGCACATTAATGCAAGAAAAACAGCAGTGCTAGTTGGCAAAAGAAGTGGCCAGTGGCATTCTTGTTCGACGCCGACGGTATCACTGGCGTTGACACATTGCCCTTGCCCGAGGGCGTAAAGATTCATTGATGCATGGCAGCAGCAAAGTATCAAAGCCCCCCCACGGGCGGGTGTGGATCGAGATCGGGGTAGTGCTTCATATGTTATGAATTTAGACACCGGACCGCTAGAAATCTACCACGAATGAACGCTCCCATGCCCCCCCCCCTCCCCCCCGGTGTTTGCCATCGGGGTTGGGTTTTCGTCGATTGGCAACGACGTTGTAAAACAAGCCGCCCCCCCCGGTGTTTGCCATCGGGGTTGGGTTTTCGTCGCCTGGCAACGACGTTATAAAACAAGCCTCCCCATCGGTGTTTGCTATCGGGATTGGGTTTTCGTCGCTTGGCAACGACGTTGTAAAACAAGCCGCCCCCCCCGGTGTTTGCCATCGGGGTTGGGTTTTCGTCGCCTGGCAACGACGTTATAAAACAAGCCTCCCCATCGGTGTTTGCTATCGGGATTGGGTTTTCGTCGCTTGGCAACGACGTTGTAAAACAAGCCGCCCCCCCCGGTGTTTGCCATCGGGGTTGGGTTTTCGTCGCCTGGCAACGACGTTATAAAACAAGCCTCCCCATCGGTGTTTGCTATCGGGATTGGGTTTTCGTCGCTTGGCAACGACGTTGTAAAACAAGCCGCCCCCCCCGGTGTTTGCCATCGGGGTTGGGTTTTCGTCGCCTGGCAACGACGTTATAAAACAAGCCTCCCCATCGGTGTTTGCTATCGGGATTGGGTTTTCGTCGCTTGGCAACGACGTTGTAAAACAAGCCGCCCCCCCCGGTGTTTGCCATCGGGGTTGGGTTTTCGTCGCCTGGCAACGACGTTATAAAACAAGCCTCCCCATCGGTGTTTGCTATCGGGATTGGGTTTTCGTCGCTTGGCAACGACGTTGTAAAACAAGCCGCCCCCCCCGGTGTTTGCCATCGGGGTTGGGTTTTCGTCGCCTGGCAACGACGTTATAAAACAAGCCTCCCCATCGGTGTTTGCTATCGGGATTGGGTTTTCGTCGCTTGGCAACGACGTTGTAAAACAAGCCGCCCCCCCCGGTGTTTGCCATCGGGGTTGGGTTTTCGTCGCCTGGCAACGACGTTATAAAACAAGCCTCCCCATCGGTGTTTGCTATCGGGATTGGGTTTTCGTCGCTTGGCAACGACGTTGTAAAACAAGCCGCCCCCCCCGGTGTTTGCCATCGGGGTTGGGTTTTCGTCGCCTGGCAACGACGTTATAAAACAAGCCTCCCCATCGGTGTTTGCTATCGGGATTGGGTTTTCGTCGCTTGGCAACGACGTTGTAAAACAAGCCGCCCCCCCCGGTGTTTGCCATCGGGGTTGGGTTTTCGTCGCCTGGCAACGACGTTATAAAACAAGCCTCCCCATCGGTGTTTGCTATCGGGATTGGGTTTTCGTCGCTTGGCAACGACGTTGTAAAACAAGCCGCCCCCCCCGGTGTTTGCCATCGGGGTTGGGTTTTCGTCGCCTGGCAACGACGTTATAAAACAAGCCTCCCCATCGGTGTTTGCTATCGGGATTGGGTTTTCGTCGCTTGGCAACGACGTTGTAAAACAAGCCGCCCCCCCCGGTGTTTGCCATCGGGGTTGGGTTTTCGTCGCCTGGCAACGACGTTATAAAACAAGCCTCCCCATCGGTGTTTGCTATCGGGATTGGGTTTTCGTCGCTTAGCAACGACGTTGTGAAACAAACCAATTCACCTCGTGAGCTGGGCAACCAGGTTACCATTTTTTTTTTTACCTCTGTTTTTTGGCGGTAACCACAATGGTGGTCGAGTGGATCATGTTGTGCGGGGTCGAGAAGCATCACTCCGCGCAAGGGGGATGATCGCACCACGTTGTGTTAAAANCTGGTCCGGTGAGAACCCGGCGTGCTCCGTCCCGGCTTTGTAGGGATGCGAGGTCAATGGTCTAACGACGGCATGCACGACTATGAGTGCATCCCGCCCCCGCCCCCCGGTGTGACGAACCCATTTTCAAGCCCGATTTTGTCACGAAGAAACACAATCCATGGTGTCTTCAGAAATGCATCGTCACCGTCCTCCCTACACGTTATCATTTGTCTTCAACGATCGCTCGCGGGCCGGAACAAGCGCGCACACATGTTTGTACATGCACACCACCGCATTTCGTGTCTGGCGAGGGGTTCCGAGCGAAAGACGGGCGGATTCGGACTGAAGCTAGCTAAGGCTGCGTGTAGAGAGTACGACAGTAAAAGTCAGCGACTATGTACAACAACAGTAGGCAATGCTGAGATATATCTATTGACGACGCAAGGTCCAAACTAATGTATGTTCAGTTGCTATTTTTTTTTTCTTGTACAGCCTAGTGGGACGGCTGCCAAGGGGGGGTCTGAACCTGTAACGTATGTTGACTTTGCTACACACAGGGGACCGGGGTACATAACAGGGTCAAGGGTGCCGGGTGGACATTACTTTTTCACAAACAAGGCACAGTCACATGTACTACACTTGCTGCAAGGAGAGGGAAATTCACTTCTACGGGAGGCAAAGCCATCAACTAGTCTGTACTACGTAGAAACGCTACGCGTGACACTCAAAAAGAGCAGCAGTGGCGAATGGAGGCCACAATCATACAGATGGACCCAGGCTACTACGTACAGCAGTGGTGCTGCTAAGATTGCTGTGCAGGTGTATCGTGAGATAACAGAATATCGCGTTAGGTGTGTTTACTCATGCAGGAGATACACGTCGAGGTAGCACACCCAAGGGGGAGCTAGAACAACAGGCAACCGAACTTTTGCGAAATGGGTCATTTTTCGGTTCGATTCGCATATCTTCCTACACCGGGAGCTGCCGCTGTAGAGCCAGTTCTTCCCCACAACAAGTTGTTCGCCAGTTCAACAGGAGCGGTCGGCGCGGCGCGTGATTCAAACACAACACACCATCAACAGAACCCCCCACTCAACACCCGCAAGCCACGTGTATCACGCGCAGATCGTTGCACAGCAAACAGCACCAGCAACCCCGATTGCTGCTCCTGCTGCTGCTGATGCTGATGCTGCTGCCCCAGGGGATCCAATGGTCCCTATACCGAAAGATGCATTTACATTTTCTTCTGATTGTACCACAACAACGAAAGTCTCTCACCACGAAGGCATCACCGACGGCGAGCGCACCGAGCGTGAGGCATGCCACACGGAACGCCATGATCATTCAGCTCTCAGGGTGCTGTGACAACCGAACAGGAAAGTAGGAGTGGTGTGCGGAGAGAAGATCAGTCGGAGAGAAGTTGAGGTTTCCACGGAATTAGATCGGGGGCCGTGCACACAGGAAAATTTGAATTTCGCATACACCCACCTACCTCCTCTGGCGGAAATGCGGCGAAACCAACGTCGTCGAGATCTTGCTGGTACCTGTTACCCAGGATATGCTCATATGCTCCGTTGTTGCAGGGAACGCGTGTAGATAGGGTGTATACGAGCCTTCATGTTCGGGGGAAAACCGCCACCTATAGTCGAAGAGCGGGCCCTGAGGGCGAAGCAGCACCGAGGGGAGTCGGAGACGTTTCAAAACCAGCTTTCGTATGTGGGTACATGTACTGCTGACCCTTGGGGTCCTTCCGGAAGGCTATCCCCCAGGCCCCCAGGCCCCAGGCTGGTGGTGCGCACGTTCCACTATTTAGTTATTTATTTGTTTCTGATTCTTTTGTTTTCTTGTATTTTATCGCTCTGCAAACCCTTGGGGTCCATTTTATTTTGGTATACCTTTTCTAGGTACGTTAGCCTGTGACCACGGAAATTGACCGAGTCAAGTGTTGGATTAGTACGGAGAGATTGAGACAGAAGGAGGTACTGGATAGAGAGACCGGGATGGTTTTGAATGTAAAGACAACAACAACAACAACAACAACAACAACAACATATGTCCGCAATCAATTGTGACGACCACGCGCATGTTTTTCGCCAGTCTCCTCGCCCTTGCAAGATATACAGTCGATGCTCCCTAAATAGTAGACGCTATTGCTGTTGGACGACGGAGACCCAACTGCTTATTTATCCGTGACGCCACACTAACCCTACAGCGAACTTCATCAGCACGTCGGCTCTGCGCGCCCGTGCTGCATTTAGTCTAGACCTTGTGGTCAATGTTCTTGCAGCACAACTTGTACATGTGGACTACAGTAGTAGAGCCGCTCAAAACCCTGCTCTCTTCCTTTTGGTATAGCGTCGCGGCTACGCGTCCTTCTGCATTACTGCGATAATCTGCTGTGTAAATCTCTTACTTGTGCACACGCACACGGCAACCCCACGTCTTGTCCTTCCTGCCATACCCGCCCTGCTTTGGCCATTGGTTTTGAGCTGATCGTGACCAAGCTTGGGTTTCCCCGCACAAGTACGCCTGGTTGAATTCCTTCTGTGTGATCTTGCACGAAACCTGAGCAGGTGCACATCCGTCGTCTCCCGTTGTACTCGGAGCTGCTAGCGAGGTTGGGTCCCTTCGCCGCCCGAGAGCTCACGTGTTGCGATGCAGGCCACCAGCCAGAGGGAGGAGCGTTCCGGGAACTGTGGCTCCGCTATCATGCTACTTACAGCCATATCCTCAAATCGTCAGTAGACTCAACGAAAGAAACAAGTCATGCGGGGGGAAACTTCGACGATAAAACACCGCAGGGCGAGGCTGGAAAGGTAAGGGAAGAAATCGACGGCTGCGATGATGGGTGTGGCGATGCGCTCGGCCTGTCCTTCAAGAGAGAGGTGGAGACTGTCGAGCGAGCTTTGTGGAGGCGAGAGAATTTGGGCGTTGAGCGGGGGCTTCAGCGCCGGCGATGCCATTTGCGCGCACGTTCTCGGTTGCACCACCTTCGGCATACCACAAATAGTTGAAGAAGCGCGATGATACTCGTTTAGTGTCAACACCGCCTACATCTTAATCGTCAGCGTATAAGAATCACTCCGAACCCTTTAGAGGTAATGGGACGCCAGAGGTATACATGACCAAGCGCACGGCTAGATCACGCGAAGAGGGGGGCAGCACCGGCAGCAATAGAGGCGAAGAGAGCAGTTTCTTGGCACCTGCAGAGATTTCGTGTGTCGTTACCTACTGTACGCCAACTGGGAGATGCTAATCCAATGCTGTTGTCGAGACAAAACTTTCGAGAGCAACCTACGACTGCTTTGTTGCACGAATTTGGACCTCAACAAGGAGGCAACCGATTGCTGTCCCGTAAATAACGCGCTCGTCCGGCGAGCCTTCACGAAGCATGCGTTCATGTATCCAACCATCATCATCACCGTACACAGTGATACAGCGACAACCGATCCTGTAATAATACTTCCAAGAGTCACGCACGCAGGCCAACAGAAGGAAGCAGGATCGATCGTTCGTGCCGTTTATCGCCCCGACGCATGGAAACACAACGTTTGAAATAGTCCATTCAGAAGGCGACAAAGTCAAAGGAGGGCGAAGGTCGCAGAGATACTTGACCGCGCACATCCCTCCAGCGACCCATCATGGAAAGGCGGGCGGGCGCGAACACCCTCCTCGTCAATTGACTTCACACGCAGAAAGCCTCCATCTTTACCAGGCACACCATCACAGCAGTTTTGGCATTTTTCCGCGCCCCGAGACTCGATATACTTACGGGAAACAAGAAACCAAACAACCCTTCTTTTTCTACTCGTCTTCCGTAGCTTGGACCCAAAGTCCAGAGAGAATGCCGTCTACCTACCACGCACCCGTCATGTCGCCCAGCTCGGCTTCAGGCTCTTCTGGGATCCCCGCGCCAATGCAACAGAACAAACAACACAGAGCGGTCAGTCTCGCATACATGCGATCGCGCGTCCATTATTTGCCCTCATCCTCCATCCCCTTCTCTTTTATGTACGTTCCGCGCTCCTTCGCTGCTATTTGTTGCTACTCCATATCACAGCGTAGCAGCAAGCCCTTCCCCGTTCCATCACTCGCACGTGTTCCTTCTCGCTACACCGTTACCGCTGCTATTCTGATTCGGGTGGACTCACAAATATTCCACACCACTCTCGACATCCATCCACATCAAACCGGCGAGGCCATGGATTCGCGGTGGCGGTGAGGCACGAGCATCAGCTGGTCGAGCTGCAGCTTCAGCACCTCGCAGAACCGCTGGCTCTCCTCCCACTGGAAGTCGCTCTCCATGAGCATGTCGTGCAGCTCCAAGAACTCCGCCTTGAGAGAAATCAGCCGGTCCGTGATCACCGGAGGCCGCTGGCGTCTGCTCCCGCCGCCGCCCCATCCATTGCTTTCCCCGCCCTGCGCCGCCGCCGCACTATCCCCGTCACCCGCCGCCGCGGAACCCCTCCCTTCTTCCCCTCGTTTCGGACCCGACACTGGCGAAGACCGCGAGCCGTGCTGGCCGAGCGCCAGGGGCGACGCAGAGTGCATCGAGAGGGGGGATCGCGGGCCGCCGCCGCCGCCGCCGCCGCCGCCCTCCCCCGCCCCCGGTGGCATCGGCGACCCCCGCTGTGGAGGCGGGGGCGCGAGAGGCGACCCTCTCGAGGGCCCCCCGCCCCCGCCCCCGCCCCCTCCCCCCTGCCCTACCGCACCCCCCAATATGGGAGAACCCCGGTTTTGGTGCACGTTGGGACCCAACCTTGGCCCCACCCCACCACGCTCAGGGTGCACAGGAGGGTGTCCCGTGGTGCGCCCGAGACGACCCATGCCTGACGATGGCGATGGCCCCACCCCCCCGCCCGGGGGCCCCGGGGAATGGCGGTACTGGTGGTGGTTGTGGTGGTTGTTGTGGTTGTTGTGGCTGCTGTTGTTGTTGTGGCGTGGGGGGTTTTGCTGCTGCCCCCACGCCCCGCCACTCCCTGCTCCCCCTCCTGGGCCGTTGGCAAGCGGGTGCATCCCCTGCTGGTGCTGGTGTCGTGCGTGATTGCCGCCGCCGCTGCTCCCTCCTTCCATGGCGTAGCGGGATGATGGGTCCCCCGGTGGAGTGGAGCGGCCGTCCCAGCCAGGGCGGTGGTTGCGAGAATCGGCGTAATTGTTGCCTAGAAAAAAATTGGCGCAGAGAGGGTCGGGCGGTAAACGCGAGACATGAGATGTGCAATAGCATTCATCGTGGCAAACCATATTTCGTCACGCCTAGTTGCGAGAGCAAGTCAACTTAGAATTTTGTCCGTGGAGAAAGGACAACACTCCGCCTCTTGCTGATACCTCTCGACAAGCTCTGTGCCTCAAGTCGAGAGCAGTCGTTTGTGATGCCATTGCATTTACGTCAGCATTCGACTATCGCTGGTACCGTGCAAGTATTGCAACATAACGTAAATAGTTCAGAACACGCGCTGTGTGCCCTTGTGTATTCTTGCATGAACGTACGGCGATCGCCATCAATCGATCTTGCGCACTCGAGCCACCTTTCACCACTATAACCACCCCTCCCGTTGATCCTGGCACATATAATAACCCGGTCTATATGCCTTGGTAAGGCTGCTTCGTCTCAACGCACGCCCTTCTACGGACACAATAACCAGCAGGAATTAGCAACTCCGTGATTGTTCCTCTCAAAGAGATGAGAGCGTCTTCATTTTCGACTCCCAGGCCATGTAACTTAGCTCACAGCGGGACATCGACAGTGGCATTTCAGACGCTTCTACCTCCAACTACATCCTCACACTTGGCCAGACGTCGGTGCTGCCAGCACAGCGGTCATGTTTTTCGTTGGAAAACGAAAGCGCGAGTCACGAGCATCTCCTACAAACAAATCTGCCCACTCTCTTTCACGACAAAATTGTGGCAGGTGGAAGCCATACTGGTGTTCTCGACAACGACAGCGTAACCCCATTTTCTTATTCCATCACGACCATAACGATTTTTGCTTGCACAGAGAGTTTTTCTCTCGCTTCCACTCTCTTGGTTAGCGCTATGTACAGTAGTTCGTTTGTACACTTCTGAGCGAAGAGAGTGCTGCACTCTTTCTTGAACTAAATATCAAAGCCAAGCACGCAGGAAGGGTGGTTCGGGGAGGAACTCTTCTGCGTCACCACGAATTGGAGCCCTACGCGGCAGAACGCTGCGAGCGGTGGACTAACAAAACCTCGGCGTCTCATTATCTCACCACGGAAGTCCTGCTTGAGGAATTCTGGGGCCCGGCCGCGGGGCGGGCTCGGCGAGTCCTCCTCCAAGTCCATCGCCACTGGTTCCGGGCTGCGGGGACGCTTGTAACCCCCTCCCCCGCCCCCTCTGTTGCCTCCTCCCCCCATCTGGCCCGGCATCCCGCCGGCGTTCCTGTCCTGCCAATCGCCACCGTTGCGCCCACCGCCGAGGGGGAAGCCTAAAGACGCTCTCCTCGCAGACACGCTCAGGGTCCCGGAGCCGTGGCTGTGCTCGGCCGAGCTCATGAGCGGGGGGGGTTGCGGGGGCGTTGGGTTGTACCTGCCGTCGGCGTTGTTGTGCAATAGCGGGTGTCGGCGGGGTGTCGGCGGGGTGTCGGGGGGG